CCATTCGGGTGCTCCCCTTGCCACCAGAGCTCCCATGCCCCTCATTGTAGTCACCTCGGCCTCTCCCTCTGCCAAAGCCTCTCCCACGACCTCGGCCTCTCCCTCCCCCTCTCCCTCTGCTGCCTCCTGCAGCTCCATACCCCTCAGCAGTTTTGTTAACAGCACCACCTCCCGTGTGGCGCCTGCGGAAGTCCTCCTGCAGGATCTGCTGCCGTAGCCACTCAGGCGTCCACTTGTCCTGCTGAACGTTGAGGGTGGGGATGAGGTTGTCCCACGAGTTGTCAAGCACCGAGATGATCTTGGTGCACTGTTGCATCTGCGACACTTCGCTGCCCGCCGCTGCCATCCTCGCATAGGTGTCCTTGATCTTGTCAAGGACTGGTTTCACATCATCTCCCGGTTTCATGGAGAGGGCAGCCAGCTCCTTCTCCAACACAATCACCATCGGCAGCGTGTTGGGCTGAACCACGTCGCGTAGCAGCTTCCACGCCTTTGGTCCCGAGTCATCGAGCTCCACCAAATCCTTGATGTGCTGGAACATGTCGTTGTTGACCGATTGGAGGATGAGGTCGTACAGCACCGCGCTCTTCTCAATCCACCGATCGCGGGCATCTCCTTCCCCTGGCATCTTCTCCTCTCCCATTGCAATTTTCAGCAGCTTGTAGCGCTTGAAGGCGCTCCGCATCCGCCCGCTCCATTCCTCATAGTTGGAGCCATCCAAAGCTTCAATCTTGGATGGTGGCGGTTCACTCCTCTTCTCAACTGCATCTCCACTTCCTTGACTCATCTTCTCTGCTCCCAATCACAATTTCAGCTCCCCCTTTGCTGTCCACACCAAAGTCCCACAATATTTTCACAAGTGTCGGCGCCAACAAAATTTCGGCAGAGTTTCCCCTTAGCGGAAGTCACATCCAACCTCTAGAACTCCACTTAGGCACGCCCACAAGCCATGGTGGGTCTAGGAGGGTCTTCACACTTCAGTAGACTCCCCACAAGGTCCTTAATCAGCTCTGATACCACTTGTTAGAGACTGAGGACGGAGTCTATAAAGATTAGTAGCAAAAATATCTCAACATCGTTGGGCCTAGTTTCTGAACAGAAAAGTCGAGTTCACAAGAAACGCCGTCGACGAAAAGGTCACAGTCAAAACTTCATCAAACTCGACTATGTTGTAGCTCTACTCCGTGGCTTCAATTCCCAAGTTGAATCATGCGAAAAGGTGAAGTATTTCTTGAGCTATCAATTTCGGCGCACTAGGGGGTATGCTGCCATAGAATCTTAACTCAATCACAAAAGTTCACACAAGAGAATTGGAGTAGCACTAAACCAGGTGGAAGGGATGAGGAGGACGAGAGGGAAGGTCCCAAGAGAGTCCCCAACCAAGGAAACCCCATGCCATACAATTCCCTTCCCCATAGGCAACCCAACTTTGACCTTTGTCACTATCCCAACCTCCACAATCCACCTCAACCCAACTTGGCCACACTTGCCAGCCTGGTTTGGTTTCTCCCAACCATTTGGCAGCAACTACAGTAGAAAAGACGAATTTCCCAACCCTCAAAAGTCTGTACCCCATATTGAGTCAACCCCACAACTTCCCATAGTCACCACAACCAAATATCAAAAGCATACGAACTCCAACGTTCGTAACTTTCTTGTTCGTGCTCCGATTGAAGCGATACTTGGTTCCTCGGAAAGCTCTTGAGCAGAGGAGTCACTTCAGATATCTGCTCAAGCCAAATAACATTCACACACACACACTCAGAAAAACCAAACCGCACAAAACACAAATTTCTGCACACACTCACAACACGCATGCAACGCACGAACATATGATGGGAGGCAGACAGACGTGAATGCGAATGGTAGCATCACTCAACAAACTCCCCCTCTGGCTGCCAACCATCATCCCACATGTCATAGCTCAAGCATGCAACCTCAATGCACACTCATCCCTGGAAGCTTCATGCCCTTCCAATGCTCAGATTCAGCCAGGCGCTTGGTGAGAATGTCAGCCGCCTGCTGATGGGTCTTCACAATCTCCAGCCGCACCTCCTTGTCCAGGAGCCTTCTCACCTAGTGCCACTTAGGCCTGATGTGTTTGGTCAGCCCATGAAGACAAGCATTCTTCGCTAGCTTCACCGCCGACTCATTGTCACAGAAAATCACAGTCGGATCCCTCTGACCAACTCCAATCTCCTCCAACAAACGCCTCAGCCACACCACCTCCTTTGCCCCATGATGCAGGGCCATGTACTCTGTCTCACACGAGGACTGCCCCACTTCATTCTGCTTCTTACTGCGCCAGCTCACTGCACCACCTCCGAACAGGCACACATAGCCTCCAATGCTGGTGCCATCCGCTTTCACCGAGTTGAAGCTAGCGTCAGTGTAGCAGGTCAGGAGCATCTCCCCCTTGCTCAAATCAGCTGCACCCCTATGCAGCCTCTGCCTCACAGCACTGTACTCCAAACCCACTGATGCCGTTGCACTCACATAGCGGACCAACCTCTTGGCCGCTTCCAGCTGCTCATGACTGGGGCGTGAAACCACACTAGCAAGCCTGGATGTTGCAAAGGCAATGTCAGGCCGTGTGTGGTTAGCCGCATAGTTGAGTGCCCCAACCATGGAATGAAAAAGTTTCCTGTCACTCTCACCCACCACCTCCTCATCAGCACAGGGCTCCACAGTGAACCCCGAAGGCAGTGGGGTGGCTGGCTTTCCTCCATCTTGTAGCCCATACTTCTCAGCCAGCCCCTCACAATACTTTCTCTGGTGCAACCTCAACACTCCCTTGTCAAGGTCCCTCTCCACATGCATCCCTAAATAGTACTTCACGTCTCCCATCTTGGAGCACTTGAACTGCATCTCCAGCATCTCCTCCACATGCTCAATCATTGCAGACGAATCAGAGAAGAGCAGGATGTCGTCCACATACACCAGGAGCATGAGAAACTGCTCCTTCTCCTGCAGCAGGAACAAGATGTGATCACACTCACTCTTCTTGAAACCCCCAGCCAGCAGAGTCTCCTCTAACTTGTGGTACCATGCACGAGGAGCCTGCTTCAGGCCATAGATGGCCTTCTTCAGCCTGCACACCCTGCCGCTCCCATCATCCAATCCCTCAGGCTGTAACATGTACAGCTCCTCCATAATGATCCCATTAAGGAAGGCGGTGGTGATGTCCATCTGCTTCACCCGCCATCCACGGTTTGCTGCCATTGCCAATGACACCCGAAGTGTTGTGCCTTTCCCCACAGGAGCATAGAGCTCGTTGAAGTCCTTTCCCTTTGTCTGCTGAAACCCCTTAGCCACAAGCCTTGACTTGTAGCGGGTCAGCGCCCCATCAGGTCCGTACTTGTGCCTGAAAATCAGCTTGGAAGAAATGGCCTTCTTCCCGGGTGGCAGCTCACACAGCTCCCACGTCTCATTCTCTAACAGAGAATCATAGTCCTCCTTCACACTCTGCTTCCACTTTTCAGCATCGGGCCCGCTCAATGCCTCAGCTAGCGTCTTGGACTCAGGGACGGCTGCCCAGAAGCAGTGTGCTATCTCATCCTCATCACACTGCTCAGCCACACTCCCAGCCCTCACCACCTTTGGCTTGCCACGGCTTGCATAGGTCAGCCTGTTAGGAGGGCGCACATCCCTCCTAGGACGGTCAGCCGTACGTCCGGCACCTTGTGGAGCACCTTGCTCCTCCTGCTGCTGCTGCTGCTCCACCTCAGGCTGCTCCACCTCAGGTTCTCCCAGATTCCATCCCCTTCTCCCAGATTCCACCCCCTTCTCCCCGATTCCACCCCCTTCTCCCAGATTCCATCCCCTTCTCGCTGATTCCATCCCCTTCTCCCATATTCTATCACCTTGTTCCACATTCCATCACCTTCTCCCAGATTCCATCCCCATCTTCCAGATTCCATCCCCTTCTCCCAGATTCCATCCCCTTCTCCCAGATTCCATCCCCTTCTCCCAGATTCCATCCCCTTCTTCCAGATTCCATCCCCTTCTCCCAGATTCCATCCCCTTCTCCCTGATTCCATCCCCTTCTCCCACATTCCATCCCCTTCTCCCAGATTCCATCCCCTTCTCCCAGATTCCATCCCCTTCTCCCAGATTCCACCCCCTTTCTCCCAGATTTCATCCCCTTCTCTCAGATTCCATCCCCTTCTGCCCGATTCCATCCCCTTCTCCCAGATTCCATCCCCTTCTCCCAGATTCCATCCCCTTCTCCCAGATTCCATCCCCTTCTCCCAGATTCCATCCCCTTCTCGCAGATTCCATCCCCTTCTCCTATATTCCATCCCCTTCTCCCATATTCTATCCCCTTCTTCCACATTCCATCTCTTCTCCCAGATTCCATCCCCTTCTTCGAGATTCCATCCCCATTCTCCCAGATTCCATCCCCTTCTCCCAGATTCCACCCCCTTCTCCCAGATTCCACCCCCTTCTCCCAGATTCCATCCCTTTCTCCCAGATTCCATCCCCTTCTTCAGATTTCATCCCCTTCTCCCAGATTCCAACCCTTTCTCCCATATTCCATCCCCTTCTCCCAGATTCCATCCCCTTCTCCCAGATTTCATCCCCTTCTCCCTGATTCCACCCCCTTCTTCCAGATTCCATCCCCTTCTCCCAGATTCCATCCCCTTCTCCCATATTCCATCCCCTTCTCCCATATTCCATCCCTTTCTCCCAGATTCCATCCCCTTCTCCCAGATTCCATCCCCCTCTCCCAGATTCCATCCCGTTCTCCCAGATTCCATCCCCTTCTCCCAGGTTCCATCTTTCTTCTCCCAAATTCCATCCCCTTCTCCCACATTCTATCCCCTTCTCCCAGATTCCATCCCCTTCTCCCAGATTCCACCCCCTTCTCCCAGATTCCATCCCCTTCTTCCAGATTCCATCCCCTTCTCCCTAATTCCATCCCCTTCTCCCAGATTCCATCCCCTTCTCCCAGATTCCATCTCCTTCTCCTTGATTCCATCCCCTTCTCCCAGATTTCATCACCTTCTCCCAGATTCCACCCCCTTCTCCCAGATTCCATCCCCTTCTCCCGGATTCCATCCCCTTCTCCCAGATTCCATCCCCTTCTCCCAGATTCCATCCCCGTCTCCCTCATTCCATCCCCTTCTCCCTGATTCCATCCCCTTCTCCAAGATTCCATCCCCTTCTCCCATATTCCATCCCCTTCTCCTAGATTCCATCCCCTTCTCCCAGATTCCATCCCCTTCTCCCTGATTCCATCCCCTTCTCCCATATTCCATCCCCTTCTCCCAGATTCCATCCCCTTCTCCCTGATTCCATCCCCTTCTCCCAGATTCCATCCCCTTCTTCCAGATTCCATCCCCTTCTCCTAGATTCCATCCCCTTCTCCCCGATTCCATCCCCTTCTCCCACATTCCATCCCCTTCTCCCAGATTCCATCCCCTTCTCCCAGATTCCATCCCCTTCTCCCAGATTCCATCCCCTTCTCCCAGATTCCATCCCCTTCTCCCAGATTCCATCCCCTTCTCGCAGATTCCATCCCCTTCTCCTATATTCCATCCCCTTCTCCCATATTCTATCCCCTTCTTCCACATTCCATCTCTTCTCCCAGATTCCATCCCCTTCTTCGAGATTCCATCCCCATTCTCCCAGATTCCATCCCCTTCTCCCAGATTCCACCCCCTTCTCCCAGATTCCACCCCCTTCTCCCAGATTCCATCCCTTTCTCCCAGATTCCATCCCCTTCTCCCAGATTTCATCCCCTTCTCCCAGATTCCAACCCTTTCTCCCATATTCCATCCCCTTCTCCCAGATTCCATCCCCTTCTCCCAGATTTCATCCCCTTCTCCCTGATTCCACCCCCTTCTTCCAGATTCCATCCCCTTCTCCCAGATTCCATCCCCTTCTCCCATATTCCATCCCCTTCTCCCATATTCCATCCCTTTCTCCCAGATTCCATCCCCTTCTCCCAGATTCCATCCCCCTCTCCCAGATTCCATCCCGTTCTCCCAGATTCCATCCCCTTCTCCCAGGTTCCATCTTTCTTCTCCCAAATTCCATCCCCTTCTCCCACATTCTATCCCCTTCTCCCAGATTCCATCCCCTTCTCCCAGATTCCACCCCCTTCTCCCAGATTCCATCCCCTTCTTCCAGATTCCATCCCCTTCTCCCTGATTCCATCCCCTTCTCCCAGATTCCATCCCCTTCTCCCAGATTCCATCTCCTTCTCCTTGATTCCATCCCCTTCTCCCAGATTTCATCACCTTCTCCCAGATTCCACCCCCTTCTCCCAGATTCCATCCCCTTCTCCCGGATTCCATCCCCTTCTCCCAGATTCCATCCCCTTCTCCCAGATTCCATCCCCGTCTCCCTCATTCCATCCCCTTCTCCAAGATTCCATCCCCTTCTCCAAGATTCCATCCCCTTCTCCCATATTCCATCCCCTTCTCCTAGATTCCATCCCCTTCTCCCAGATTCCATCCCCTTCTCCCAGATTCCATCCCCTTCTCCCTGATTCCATCCCCTTCTCCCACATTCCATCCCCTTCTCCCAGATTCCATCCCCTTCTCCCAGATTCCATCCCCTTCTCCCAGATTCCACCCCCTTCTCCCAGATTTCATCCCCTTCTCTCAGATTCCATCCCCTTCTGCCCGATTCCATCCCCTTCTCCCTGATTCCACCCCCTTCTCCCAAATTCCATCCCCTTCTCCCAGATTCCATCCCCTTCTCCCAGATTCCATCCCCTTCTCGCAGATTCCATCCCCTTCTCCTAGATTCCATCCCCTTCTCCCATATTCTATCCCCTTCTTCCACATTCCATCCCTTCTCCCAGATTCCATCCCCTTCTTCGAGATTCCATCCCCATTCTCCCAAATTCCATCCCCTTCTCCCAGATTTCACCCCCTTCTCCCAGATTCCATCCCCTTCTCCCAGATTCCATCCCCTTCTCCAGATTCCATCCCCTTCTCCCAAATTCCATCCCCTTCTGCCAGATTTCATCACCTTCTCACAGATTCTATTCCCTTCTCCCAGATTCCATCCCCTTCTCCCAGATTCCATCCCCTTCTCCCAGATTCCATCCCCTTCTCCCAGATTCCATCCCATTCTCCCAGATTCCATCCCCTTCTCGCAGATTCCATCCCCTTCTCCTAGATTCCATCCCCTTCTCCCATAATCTATCCCCTTCTTCCACATTCTATCCCCTTCTCCCAGATTCCATCCCCTTCTCCCAGATTCCATCCCCATTCTCCCAGATTCCATCCCCTTCTCCCTGATTCCACCCCCTTCTCCCAGATTCTACCCCCTTCTCCCAGATTCCATCCCTTTCTCCCAGATTCCATCCCCTTCTCCCAGATTCCATCCCCTTCTCCCAGATTCCAACCCTTTCTCCCATATTCCATCCCCTTCTCCCAGATTCCATCCCCTTCTCCCAGATTTCATCCCCTTCTCCCTGATTCCACCCCCTTCTTCCAGATTCCATCCCCTTCTCCCAGATTCCATCCCCTTCTCCCATATTCCATCCCCTTCTCCCATATTCCATCCCTTTCTCCCAGATTCCATCCCCTTCTCCCAGATTCCATCCCCTTCTTCCAGATTCCATCCCCTTCTCCTAGATTCCATCCCCTTCTCCCAGGTTCCATCATTCTTCTCCCAGATTCCATCCCCTTCTCCCACATTCTATCCCCTTTTCCCTGATTCCCTCCCCTTCTCCCAGATTCCACACCCTTCTCCCAGATTCCATCCCCTTCTCCCGGATTCCATCCCCTTCTCCCAGATTCCATCCCCTTCTCCCAGATTCCATCCCCTTCTCCCTCATTCCATCCCCTTCTCCCCGATTCCATCCCCTTCTCCCAGATTCCATCCCCTTCTCCCATATTCCATCCCCTTCTCCTAGATTCCATCCCCTTCTCCCAGATTCCATCCCCTTCCCCCTGATTCCATCCCCTTCTCCCATATTCCATCCCCTTCTCCCAGATTCCACCCCCTTCTCCCAGATTCCATCCCCTTCTCCCAGATTCCATCCCCTTCTCCCAGATTCCATCCCCTTCTCCCAAATTCCTTCCCCTTCTGCCAGATTTCATCCCCTTCTCACAGATTCTATTCCCTTCTCCCAGATTCCATCCCCTTCTCCCAGATTCCATCCCCTTCTCCCAGATTCCATCCCCTTCTCCTAGATTCCATCCCATTCTCCCAGATTCCATCCCCTTCTCCCCGATTCCATCCCCTTCTCCCAGATTCCACCCCCTTCTCCCAGATTCCATCCCCTTCTCCCAGGTTCCATCTTTCTTCTCCCAGATTCCATCCCCTTCTCCCACATTCTATCCCCTTTTCCCAGATTCCATCCCCTTCTCCCAGATTCCACCCCCTTCTCCCAGATTCCATCCCCTTCTTCCAGATTCCATCCCCTTCTCCCTGATTCCATCCCCTTCTCCCAGATTCCATCCCCTTCTCCCAGATTGCATCCCCTTCTCCCAGATTCCATCCCCTTCTCCCAGATTTCATCACCTTCTCCCAGATTCCACCCCCTTCTCCCAGATTCCATCCCCTTCTCCTGAATTCCATCCCCTTCTCCCAGATTCCATCCCCTTCTCCCAGATTCCATCCCCTTCTCCCAGATTCCATCCCCTTCTCCCACATTCCATCCCCTTCTCCGAGAGTTCATCCCCTTCTCTCAGATTCCACCCCCTTCTCCAAGATTCTATCCCCTTCTCCCAGATTCCATCCCCTTCTCCCAGATTCCATCCCCTTCTCCCAGATTCCATCCCCTTCTCCCTGATTCCACCCCCTTCTCCCAAATTCCATCCCCTTCTCCCAGATTCCATCGCCTTCTCCCAGATTCCATCCCCTTCTCGCAGATTCCATCCCCTTCTCCTAGATTCCATCCCCTTCTCCCATATTCTATCCCCTTCTTCCACATTCCATCCCCTTCTCCCAGATTCCATCCCCTTCTCCCAGATTCCATCCCCTTCTCCCAGATTCCATCCCCTTCTCCCAGATTCCATCCCCTTCTCCCAAATTCCATCCCATTCTCCCGGATTCCATCCCCTTCTCCCCGATTCCATCCCCTTCTCCCAGATTCCATCCCCTTCGTCCAGATTCCATCCCCTTCTCCCAAATTCCATCCCCTTCTCCCTGATTCCATCCCCTTCTCCCACATTCCATCCCCTTCTCCCAGATTCCATCCCCTTCTCCCAGATTCCATCCCCTTCTCCCAGATTCCACCCCCTTCTCCCAGATTCCATCCCCTTCTCTTTGATTCCATCCCCTTCTCCCCGATTCCATCCCCTTCTCCCTGATTCCACCCCCTTCTCCCAAATTCCATCCCCTTCTCCCAGATTCCATCCCCTTCTCCCAGATTCCATCCCCTTCTCGCAGATTCCATCCCCTTCTCCAAGATTCCATCCCCTTCTCCCATATTCTATCCCCTTCTTCCACATTCCATCCCCTTCTCCCAGATTCCATCCCCTTCTCCCAGATTCCATCCCCTTCTCCCAGATTCCATCACCTTCTCCCAGACTTCATCCCCTTCTCCCAGATTCCACCCCCTTCTCCCAGATTCCATCCCCTACTCCCAGATTCCATCCCCTTCTCCCAGATTCCATCCCCATTCTCCCAAATTCCATCCCCTTCTCCCAGATTCCACCCCCTTCTCCCAGATTCCACCCCCTTCTCCCAGATTCCATCCCCTTCTCCCTGATTCCATCCCCTTCTCCCAGATTCCATCCCCTTCTCCCATATTCCATCCCTTTCTCCTAGATTCCATCCCCTTCTCCCAGATTCCATCCCCTTCTCCCAGATTCCACCCCCTTCTCCCAGATTCCATCCCCTTCTCCCAGAATCCATCCCCTTCTCCCTGATTCCATCCCTTTCTCCCAGATTCCATCCCCTTCTCCTAGATTCCATCCCCTTCTCCCAGATTCCATCCCCTTCTCCCAGATTTAATCACCTTCTCCCAGATTCCACCCCCTTCTCTCAGATTCCATCCCCTTCTCCCGGATTCCATCCCCTTCTCCCAGATTCCATCCCCTTCTCCCAGATTCCATCCCGTTCTCCCTCATTCCATCCCCTTCTCCCCGATTCCATCCCCTTCTCCCAGATTCTACCCCCTTCTCCCAAATTACACCCCCTTCTCCCAGATTCCATCCCATTCTCCCAGATTCCATCCCCTTCTCCCTGATTCCATCCCCTTCTCCCAGATTCCATCCCCTTCTCCCAGATTCCATCCCCTTCTCCCATATTCCATCCCCTTCTCCCAGATTCCATCCCCTTCTCCCAGATTTCATCCCCTTCTCCCTGATTCCACCCCCTTCTCCCAGATTCCATCCCCTTCTCCCAGATTCCATCTCCTTCTCCCAGATTCCATCCCCTTCTCCCAGGTTCCATCCCCTTCTCCCAGATTCCATCCCCTTCTCCCGGATTCCATCCCCATCTCCCAGATTCCATCCCCTTCTCCCCGATTCCATCCCCTTCTCCCAGATTCCATCCCCTTCTTCTAGATTCCATCCCCTTCTCCCAGATTCCATCCCCTTCTCCCTGATTCCATCCCCTTCTCCCGCATTCCATCCCCTTCTCCCATATTCCATCCCCTTCTCCCAGATTCCATCCCCTTCTCCCAGATTCCACCCCCTTCTCCCAGATTCCATCCCCTTCTCTCAGATTCCATCCCCTTCTCCCCGATTCCATCCCCTTCTCCCTGATTCCACCCCCTTCTCCCAAATTCCATCCCCTTCTCCCAGATTCCATCCCCTTTCCCAGAATCCATCCCCTTCTCCAAGATTCCATCCCCTTCTCCCAGATTCCATCCCCTTCTCCCTGATTCCATCCCCTTCTCCCAGATTCCATCCCCTTCTCCCAGATTCCATCCCCTTCTCCCAGATTCCATCCCCTTCTCCCAGATTCCACCCCCTTCTCCCAGATTCCATCCCCTTTTCCAGATTCCATCCCCTTCTCCCTGATTCCATCCCCTTCTCCTAGATTCCATCCTTTTCTCCCAGATTCCATCCCCTTCTCCCAGATTCCATCCCCTTCTCCCAGATTCCATCACCTTCTCCCAGACTTCATCCCCTTCTCCCTGATTCCACCCCCTTCTCCCAGATTCCATCCCCTACTCCCAGATTCCATCCCCTTCTCCCAGATTCCATTCCCATTCTCCCAAATTCCATCCCCTTCTCCCAGATTCCACCCCCTTCTCCCAGATTCCACCCCCTTCTCCCATATTCCATCCCCTTCTCCCTGATTCCATCCCCTTCTCCCAGATTCCATCCCCTTCTCCCAGATTCCATCCCCTTCTCCCAGATTCCATCACCTTCTCCCAGACTTCATCCTCTTCTCCCAGATTCCACCCCCTTCTCCCAGATTCCATCCCCTACTCCCAGATTCCATCCCCTTCTCCCAGATTCCATCCCCATTCTCCCAGATTCCATCCCCTTCTCCCAGATTCCACCCCCTTCTCCCTGATTCCACCCACTTCTCCCAGATTCCATCCCCTTCTCCCTGATTCCATCCCCTTCTCCCAGATTCCATCCCCTTCTCCCTGATTCCATCCCCTTCTCCCATATTCCATCCCCTTCTCCCATATTCCATCCCCTTATCCCATATTCCATCCCTTTCTCCCAGATTCCATCCCCTTCTCCCAGATTCCATCCCCTTCTCCCAGATTCCATCCCCTTCTCCCAGATTCTATCCCCTTCTCCCAGATTCCATCCCCTTTCTCCAGATTCCACCCCCTTCTCCCAGATTCCATCCCCTTCTCCCAATTTCCATCCCCTTCTCCCTGATTTCATCCCCTTCTCCCAGATTCCATCCCCTTCTCCCAGATTCCATCCCATTCTCCCAGATTCCATCCCCTTCTCCCTGATTCCACCCCCTTCTCCCAGATTCCATCCCCTTCTCCCATATTTCATCCCCTTATCCCATATTCCATCCCTTTCTCCCAGATTCCATTCCCTTCTCCCAGATTCCACCCCCTTCTCCCAGATTCCATCCCCTTCTCCCAGATTCCATCCCCTTCTCCCTGATTCCATCCCCTTCTCCCAGATTCCATCCCCTTCTCCCAGATTCCATCCCCTTCTCCCAGATTCCATCCCCTTCTCCCAGATTTCATCACCTTCTCCCAGATTCCACCCCCTTCTCCCAGATTCCATCCCCTTCTCCCGGATTCCATCCCCTTCTCCCAGATTCCATCCCCTTCTCCCGGATTCCATCCCCTTCTCCCTGATTCCATCCCCTTCTCCCAGATTCCATCCCCTTCTCCCAGATTCCATCCCCTTCTCCCGGATTCTATCCCCTTCTCCCAGATTCCATCCCCTTCTCCCAGATTCCACCCCCTTCTCCCAGATTCCATCCCCTTCTCCCAGATTCCATCCCCTTCTCCCTAATTCCATCCCCTTCTCCCAGATTCCATCCCCTTCTCCCAAATTCCATCCCCTTCTCCCAGATTCCATCCCCTTCTCCCATATTTCATCACCTTCTCCCAGATTCCACCCCCTTCTCCCAGATTCCATCCCCTTCTCCCGGATTCCATCCCCTTCTCCCAGATTCCATCCCCTTCTCCCTGATTCCATCCTCTTCTCCCTCATTCCATCCCCTTCTCCCCGATTCCATCCCCTTCTCCCAGATTCCACCCCCTTCTCCCAGATTCCACCCCCTTCTCCCAGATTCCATCCCATTCTCCCAGATTCCATCCCCTTCTCCCTGATTCCATCCCCTTCTCCCAGATTCCATCCCCTTCTCCCTGATTCCACCCCCTTCTCCCAGATTTCATCCCCTTCTCCCTGATTCCACCCCCTTCTCCCAGATTCCATCCCCTTTCCCAGAATCCATCCCCTTCTCCAAGATTCCATCCCCTTCTCCCAGATTCCATCCCCTTCTCCCTGATTCCATCCCCTTCTCCCAGATTCCATCCCCTTCTCCCAGATTCCACCCCCTTCTCCCAGATTCCATCCCCTTTTCCAGATTCCATCCCCTTCTCCCTGATTCCATCCCCTTCTCCTAGATTCCATCCTTTTCTCCCAGATTCCATCCCCTTCTCCCAGATTCCATCCCCTTCTCCCAGATTCCATCACCTTCTCCCAGACTTCATCCCCTTCTCCCTGATTCCACCCCCTTCTCCCAGATTCCATCCCCTACTCCCAGATTCCATCCCCTTCTCCCAGATTCCATCCCCATTCTCCCAAATTCCATCCCCTTCTCCCAGATTCCACCCCCTTCTCCCAGATTCCACCCCCTTCTTCCATATTCCATCCCCTTCTCCCTGATTCCATCCCCTTCTCCCAGATTCCATCCCCTTCTCCCAGATTCCATCCCCTTCTCCCATATTCCATCCCCTTCTCCCAGATTCCATCCCCTTCTCCCAGATTTCACCCCCTTCTCCCTGATTCCACCCCCTTCTCCCAGATTCCATCCCCTTCTCCCATATTCCATCCCCTTCTCCCATATTCCATCCCCTTCTCCCAGATTCCATCCCATTCTCCCAGATTCCATCCCCTTCTCCCTGATTCCATCCCCTTCTCCCAGATTCCATCCCCTTCTCCCTGATTCCACCCCCTTCTCCCAGATTTCATCCCCTTCTCCCTGATTCCACCCCCTTCTCCCAGATTCCATCCCCTTTCCCAGAATCCATCCCCTTCTCCCAGATTCCATCCCCTAATCCCAGATTCCATCACCTTCTCCCAGACTTCATCCCCTTCTCCCTGATTCCACCCCCTTCTCCCAGATTCCATCCCCTACTCCCAGATTCCATCCCCTTCTCCCAGATTCCATCCCCATTCTCCCAAATTCCATCCCCTTGTCCCAGATTCCACCCCCTTCTCCCAGATTCCACCCCCTTCTCCCATATTCCATCCCCTTCTCCCTGATTCCATCCCCTTCTCCCAGATTCCATCCCCTTCTCCCAGATTCCATCCCCTTCTCCCATATTCCATCCCCTTCTCCCAGATTCCATCACCTTCTCCCAGACTTCATCCCCTTCTCCCAGATTCCACCCCCTTCTCCCAGATTCCATCCCCTACTCCCAGATTCCATCCCCTTCTCCCAGATTCCATCCCCTTCTCCCAGATTCCATCCCATTCTCCCAGATTCCATCCCCTTCTCCCTGATTCCATCCCCTTCTCCCAGATTCCATCCCCTTCTCCCAGATTCCATCCCCTTCTCCCAGATTCCATCCCCTTCTCCCAGATTCCACCCCCTTCTCCCAGATTCCATCCCCTTCTCCCAGATTCCATCCCCTTCTCCCTGATTCCATCCCCTTCTCCTAGAATCCATCCCCTTCTCCCAGATTCCATCCCTTTCTCCCAGATTCTATCCCCTTCTCCCAGATTCCATCCCCTTCTTCCAGATTCCATCCCCTTCTCCCAGATTCCATCCCCTTCTCCCAGATTCCATCCCCTTCTCCCAGATTCCATCCCCTTCTCCCAGATTCCACCCCCTTCTCCCAGATTCCACCACCTTCTCCCAGATTCCATCCCCTTCTCCCTGATTCTATCCCCTTCTCCCAGATTCCATCCCCTTCTCCCATATTCTATCCCCTTCTCCCATATTCCATCCCCTTCTCCCAGATTCCATCCCCTTCTCCCAGATTTCATCCCCTTCTCCCTGATTCCACCCCCTTCTCCCAGATTCCATCCCCATTCCCAGAATCCATCCCCTTCTCCCAGATTCCATCCCCTTCTCCCAGATTCCATCCCCTTCTCCCAGATTCCATCCCCTTCTCCTAGATTCCATCCCCTTCTCCCAGATTCCATCCCCTACTCCCAGATTCCATCCCCTTCTCCCAGATTCCATCCCCTTCTCCCAGATTCCATCCCCTTCTCCCAGATTTCATCCCCTTCTCCCTGATTCCACCCCCTTCTCCCAGATTCCATCCCCATTCCCAGAATCCATCCCCTTCTCCCAGATTCCATCCCCTTCTCCCAGATTCCATCCCCTTCTCCCAGATTCCATCCCCTTCACCCACATTCCATCCCCTACTCCCAGATTCCATCCCCTTCTCCCAGATTCCATCCCCTTCTTCCAGATTCCATCCCCTTCTCCCAGATTTCATCCCCTTCTCCCTGATTCCACCCCCTTCTCCCAGATTCCATCCCCATTCCCAGAATCCATCCCCTTCTCCCAGATTCCATCCCCTTCTCCCAGATTCCATCCCCTTCTCCCAGATTCCATCCCCTTCTCCCAGATTCCATCCCCTTCTCCCAGATTCCATCCCCTTCTCCCAGATTCCACCCCCTTCTTCCAGATTCCATCCCCTTCTCCAGATTCCATCCCCTTCTCCCTGATTCCATCCCCTTCTCCTAGATTCCATCCCCTTCTCCCAGATTCCATCCCCTTCTCCCAGATTCCATCCCCTTCTCCCAGATTCCATCACCTTCTCCCAGACTTCATCCCCTTCTCCCAGATTCCACCCCCTTCTCCCAGATTCCATCCCCTACTCCCAGATTCCATCCCCTTCTCCCAGATTCCATCCCCATTCTCCCAGATTCCATCCCCTTCTCCCAGATTCCATCCCCTTCTCCCAGATTCCATCCCCTTCTCCCAGATTCCATCCCCTTCTCCCTGATTCCATCCCCTTCTCCCAGATTCCATCCCCTTCTCCCAGATCCCATCCCCTTCTCCCATATTCCATCCCCTTCTCCCAGATTCCATCCCCTTCTCCCAGATTTCATCCCCTTCTCCCTGATTCCACCCCCTTCTCCCAGATTCCATCCCCTTCTCCCATATTCCATCCCCTTCTCCCATATTCCATCCCTTTCTCCCAGATTCCATCCCCTTCTCCCAGATTCCATCCCCTTCTCCCAGATTCCATCCCCTTCTCCCAGATTCTATCCCCTTCTCCCAGATTCCATCCCCTTCTCCCAGATTCCACCCCCTTCTCCCAGATTCCATCCCCTTCTCCCAGATTCCATCCCCTTCTCCCTCATTCCATCCCCTTCTCCCAGATTCCATCCCCTTCTCCCAGGTTTCATCCCCTTCTCCCAGATTCCATCCCCTTCTCCCAGATTCCATCCCCTTCTCCCAGATTCCATCCCATTCTCCCATATTCCATCCCCTTCTCCCAGATTCCACCCCCTTCGCCCAGATTCCATCCCCTTCTCCCTGATTCCATCCCCTTCTCCCAGATTCCATCCCCTTCTCCCAGATTTCATCCCCTTCTCCCTGATTCCACCCCCTTCTCCCTGATTCCATCCCCTTCTCCCAGATTCCATCCCCTTCTCCCATATTCCATCCCTTTCTCCCAGATTCCATCCCCTTCTCCCAGATTCTATCCCCTTCTCCCAGATTCCATCCCTTTGTCCGAGATTCTATCCCCTTCTCCCAGATTCCATCCCCTTCTCCCAGATTCCACCCCCTTCTCCCAGATTCCATCCCCTTCTCCCAGATTCCATCCCCTTTTCCAGAATCCATCCCCTCTCCCAGATTCCATCCCCTTCTCCCAGATTCCATCCCCTTCTCCCTTGATTCCCTCCCCTTCTCCCAGATTCCATCCCCTTCTCCCAGATTCCATCCCCTTCTCCCAGATTCCATCCCTTTCTTCCAGATTCCACCCCCTTCTCCCAGATTCCATCCCCTTCTCCCAGATTCCATCCCCTTCTTCCTTTTTCCATCCCCTTCTCCTATATTCCATCCCCTTCTTCCAGATTCTATCCCCTTCTCCCAGATTCCATCCCCTTCTCCCAGATTCCATCCCCTTCTTCCAGATTCCACCCCCTTCTCCCAGATTCCACCCCCTTCTCCCAGATCCCATCCCCTTCTCCCTGATTCAATCCCCTTCTCCCAGATTCCATCCCCTTCTCCCAGATTCCATCCCCTTCTCCCAGATTCCATCCCCTTCTCCCAGATTCCACCCCCTTCTCCCAGATTCCATCCCCTTCTCCAGATTCCATCCCCATTCTCCCAGATTCCATCCCCTTCTCCCAGATTCCACCCCCTTCTCCCAGATTCCACCCCCTTCTCCCAGATTCCATCCCCTTCTCCCTGATTCCATCCCCTTCTCCCAGATTCCATCCCCTTCTCCCAGATTCCATCCCCTTCTCCCATATTCCATCCCCTTCTCCCAGATTCCATCCCCTTCTCCCAGATTTCATCCCCTTCTCCCTGATTCCACCCCCTTCTCCCAGATTCCATCCCCTTCTCCCATATTCCATCCCCTTCTCCCATATTCCATCCCTTTCTCCCAGATTCCATCCCCTTCTCCCAGATTCCATCCCCTTCTCCCAGATTCCATCCCTTTCTCCGAGATTCTATCCCCTTCTCCCAGATTCCACCCCCTTCTCCCAGATTCCATCCCCTTCTCCCAGATTCCATCCCCTTTTCCAGAATCCATCCCCTTCTCCCAGATTCCATCTCCTTCTCCCAGATTCCATCCCCTTCTCCCTTGATTCCCTCCCCTTCTCCCAGATTCCATCCCCTTCTCCCAGATTCCATCCCCTTCTCCCAGATTCCATCCCTTTCTCCCAGATTCCACCCCCTTCTCCCAGATTCCATCCCCTTCTCCCAGATTCCATCCCCTTCTTCCTTATTCCATCCCCTTCTCCTATATTCCATCCCCTTCTTCCAGATTCTATCCCCTTCTCCCAGATTCCATCCCCTTCTCCCAGATTCCATCCCCTTCTTCCAGATTCCACCCCCTTCTCCCAGATTCCACCCCCTTCTCCCAGATCCCATCCCCTTCTCCCTGATTCAATCCCCTTCTCCCAGATTCCATCCCCTTCTCCAGATTCCATCCCCTTCTCCCTGATTCCATCCCCTTCTCCTAGATTCCATCCCCTTCTCCCAGATTCCATCCCCTTCTCCCAGATTCCATCCCCTTCTCCCAGATTCCATCACCTTCTCCCAGACTTCATCCCCTTCTCCCAGATTCCACCCCCTTCTCCCAGATTCCATCCCCTACTCCCAGATTCCATCCCCTTCTCCCAGATTCCATCCCCATTCTCCCAGATTCCATCCCCTTCTCCCAGATTCCACCCCCTTCTCCCAAATTCCACCCCCTTCTCCCAGATTCCATCCCCTTCTCCCAGACTCCATCTCCTTCTCCCAGATTCCATCCCCTTCTCCCAGATTTCATCACTTTCTCCCAGATTCCACCCCCTTCTCCCAGATTCCATCCCCTTCTCCCGGATTCCATCCCCTTCTCCCAGATTCCATCCCCTTCTCCCAGATTCCATCCCCTTCTCCCATATTCCATCCCCTTCTCCCAGATTCCATCCCCTTCTCCCAGATTTCATCCCCTTCTCCCTGATTCCACCCCCTTCTCCCAGATTCCATCCCCTTCTCCCATATTCCATCCCCTTCTCCCATATTCCATCCCTTTCTCCCAGATTCCATCCCCTTCTCCCAGATTCCATCCCCTTCTCCCTGATTCCATCCCTTTCTCCGAGATTCTATCCCCTTCTCCCAGATTCCACCCCCTTCTCCGAGATTCCATCCCCTTCTCCCAGATTCCATCCCCTTTTCCAGAATCCATCCCCTTCTCCCAGATTCCATCCCCTTCTCCCAGATTCCATCCCCTTCTCCCTTGATTCCCTCCCCTTCTCCCAGATTCCATCCCCTTCTCCCAGATTCCATCCCCTTCTCCCAGATTCCATCCCTTTCTACCTGATTCCACCCCCTTCTCCCAGATTCCATCCCCTTCTCCCAGATTCCATCCCCTTCTTCCTTATTCCATCCCCTTCTCCTATATTCCATCCCCTTCTTCCAGATTCTATCCCCTTCTCCCAGATTCCATCCCCTTCTCCCAGATTCCATCCCCTTCTTCCAGATTCCACCCCCTTCTCCCAGATTCCACCCCCTTCTCCCAGATCCCATCCCCTTCTCCCTGATTCAATCCCCTTCTCCCAGATTCCATCCCCTTCTCCCAGATTCCATCCCCTTCTCCCAGATTCCATCCCCTTCTCCCAGATTCCACCCCCTTCTCCCAGATTCCATCCCCTTCTCCAGATTCCATCCCCTTCTCCCTGATTCCATCCCCTTCTCCTAGATTCCATCCCCTTCTCCCATATTCCATCCCCTTCTCCCAGATTCCATCCCCTTCTCCCAGATTCCATCACCTTCTCCCAGACTTCATCCCCTTCTCCCCGATTCCACCCCCTTCTCCCAGATTCCATCCCCTACTCCCAGATTCCATCCCCTTCTCCCAGATTCCATCCCCATTCTCCCAGATTCCATCCCCTTCTCCCAGATTCCACCCCCTTCTCCCAGATTCCACCCCCTTCTCCCAGATTCCATCCCCTTCTCCCTGATTCCATCCCCTTCTCCCAGATTCCATCCCCTTCTCCCAGATTCCATCCCCTTCTCCCATATTCCATCCCCTTCTCCCATATTCCATCCCCTTCTCCCATATTCCATCCCTTTCTCCCAGATTCCATCCCCTTCTCCCAGATTCCATCCCCTTCTCCCTGATTCCATCCCTTTCTCCGAGATTCTATCCCCTTCTCCCAGATTCCACCCCCTTCTCCGAGATTCCATCCCCTTCTCCCAGATTCCATCCCCTTTTCCAGAATCCATCCCCTTCTCCCAGATTCCATCCCCTTCTCCCAGATTCCATCCCCTTCTCCCTTGATTCCCTCCCCTTCTCCCAGATTCCATCCCCTTCTCCCAGATTCCATCCCCTTCTCCCAGATTCCATCCCTTTCTACCTGATTCCACCCCCTTCTCCCAGATTCCATCCCCTTCTCCCAGATTCCATCCCCTTCTTCCTTATTCCATCCCCTTCTCCTATATTCCATCCCCTTCTTCCAGATTCTATCCCCTTCTCCCAGATTCCATCCCCTTCTCCCAGATTCCATCCCCTTCTTCCAGATTCCACCCCCTTCTCCCAGATTCCACCCCCTTCTCCCAGATCCCATCCCCTTCTCCCTGATTCAATCCCCTTCTCCCAGATTCCATCCCCTTCTCCCAGATTCCATCCCCTTCTCCCAGATTCCATCCCCTTCTCCCAGATTCCACCCCCTTCTCCCAGATTCCATCCCCTTCTCCAGATTCCATCCCCTTCTCCCTGATTCCATCCCCTTCTCCTAGATTCCATCCCCTTCTCCCAGATTCCATCCCCTTCTCCCAGATTCCATCCCCTTCTCCCAGATTCCATCACCTTCTCCCAGACTTCATCCCCTTCTCCCCGATTCCACCCCCTTCTCCCAGATTCCATCCCCTACTCCCAGATTCCATCCCCTTCTCCCAGATTCCATCCCCATTCTCCCAGATTCCATCCCCTTCTCCCAGATTCCACCCCCTTCTCCCAGATTCCACCCCCTTCACCCAGATTCCATCCCCTTCTCCCTGATTCCATCCCCTTCTCCCAGATTCCATCCCCTTCTCCCAGATTCCATCCCCTTCTCCCATATTCCATCCCCTTCTCCCAGATTCCATCCCCTTCTCCCAGATTTCATCCCCTTCTCCCTGATTCCACCCCCTTCTCCCAGATTCCATCCCCTTCTCCCATATTCCATCCCCTTCTCCCATATTCCATCCCTTTCTCCCAGATTCCATCCCCTTCTCCCAGATTCCATCCCCTTCTCCCAGATTCCATCCCCTTCTCCCAGATTCTATCCCCTTCTCCCAGATTCCATCCCCTTCTCCCAGATTCCACCCCCTTCTCCCAGATTCCATCCCCTTCTCCCAGATTCCATCCCCTTCTCCCTGATTCCATCCCCTTCTCCCAGATTCCATCCCCTTCTCCCAGATTCCATCCCCTTCTCCCAGATTCCATCCCCTTCTCCCAGATTTCATCACCTTCTCCAAGATTCCACCCCCTTCTCCCAGATTCCATCCCCTTCTCCCGGATTCCATCCCCTTCTCCCAGATTCCATCCCCTTCTCCCAGATTCCATCCCCTTCTCCCTCATTCCATCCCCTTCTCCCCGATTCCATCCCCTTCTCCCAGATTCCACCCCCTTCTCCTAAATTCCACCCCCTTCTCCCAGATTCCATCCCATTCTCCCAGATCCCATCCCCTTCTCCCTGATTCCATCCCCTTCTCCCAGATTCCATCCCCTTCTCCCAGATTCCATCCCTCTCTCCCAGATTCCATCCCCTTCTCCCAGATTCCACCCCCTTCTCCCAGATTCCATCCCCTTCTCCCGAATTGCATCCCCTTGTGCCTGATTCCATCCCCTTCTCCTAGATTCCATCCCCTTCTCCCAGATTCCATCCCCTTCTCCTAGATTCCATCCCCTTCTCCCAGATTCCATCCCCTTCTCCCAGATTCCATCCCCTTCTCCCAGATTCCATCCCCTTCTCCCTGATTCCATCCCCTTCTCCTAGATTCCATCCCCTTCTCCCAGATTTCATCCCCTTCTCCTTGATTCCACCCCCTTCTCCCAGATTCCATCCCCTTCTCCTTGATTCCATCCCCTTCTCCTAGATTCCATCCCCTTCTCCCAGATTCCATCCCCTTCGACCAGATTCCATCCCCTTCTCCCAGATTCCATCCCCTTCTCCCAGATTCCATCCCCTTCTCCCTGATTCCATCCCCTTCTCCCAGATTCCATCCCCTTCTCCCAGATTCCATCCCTCTCTCCCAGATTCCATCCCCTTCTCCCAGATTCCACCCCCTTCTCCCAGATTCCATCCCCTTCTCCCGAATTCCATCCCCTTGTGCCTGATTCCATCCCCTTCTCCTAGATTCCATCCCCTTCTCCCAGATTCCATCCCCTTCTCCCAGATTCCATCCCCTTCTCCCAGATTCCATCCCCTTCTCCCAGATTCCATCCCCTTCTCCCAGATTCCATCCCCTTCTCTAGATTCCATCCCCTTCTCCCTGATTCAATCCCCTTCTCCCAGATTCCATCCCCTTCTCCCAGATTCCATCCCCTTCTCCCAGATTCCATCCCCTTCTCCCAGATTCCATCCCCTTCTCCCTGATTCCATCCCCTTCTCCCAGATTCCATCCCCTTCTCCCAGATTCCATCCCCTTCTCCCAGATTCCATCCCCTTCTCCCAGATTCCACCCCCTTCTCCCAGATTCCATCCCCTTCTCCCAGATTCCATCCCCTTCTCCCTGATTCCATCCCCCTCTCCTAGATTCCATCCCCTTCTCCCAGATTCCATCCCCTTCTCCCAGATTCTATCCCCTTCTCCTAGATTCCATCCCCTTCATCCAGATTCCATCCCCTTCTCCCAGATTCCATCCCCTTCTCCCAGATTCCATCCCCTTCTCCAAGATTCCATCCCCTTCTCCCAGATTCCACCCCCTTCTCCCAGATTCCACCCCGTTCTCCCAGATTCCATCCCCTTCTCCCTGATTCCATCCCCTTTTCCCAGATTCCATCCCCTTCTCCCATATTCTATCCCCTTCTCCCATATTCCATCCCCTTCTCCCAGATTCCATCCCCTTCTCCCAGATTTCATCCCCTTCTCCCTGATTCCACCCCCTTCTCCCAGATTCCATCCCCTTCTCCCTGATTCCATCCCCTTCTCCTAGATTCCATCCCCTTCTCCCAGATTCCATCCCCTTCTCCCAGATTCTATCCCCTTCTCCCAGATTCCATCCCCTGCTTCCAGATTCCATCCCCTTCTCCCAGATTCCATCCCCTTCTCCCAGATTCCATCCCCTTCTCCCAGATTCCATCCCCTTCTCCCAGATTCCACCCCCTTCTCCCAGATTCCACCCCCTTCTCCCAGATTCCATCCCCTTCTCCCTAATTCCATCCCCTTCTCCCAGATTCCATCCCCTTCTCCCATATTCTATCCCCTTCTCCCATATTCCATCCCCTTCTCCCATATTCCATCCCCTTCTCCCAGATTTCATCCCCTTCTCCCTGATTCCACCCCCTTCTCCCTGATTCCATCCCCTTTCCCAGAATCCATCCCCTTCTCCCAGATTCCATCCCCTTCTCCCAGATTCCATCCCCTTCTCCCAGATTCCATCCCCTTCTCCCTGATTCCATCCCCTTCTCCTAGATTCCATCCCTTTCTCCCAGATTTCATCCCCTTCTCCTTGATTCCACCCCCTTCTCCCAGATTCCATCCCCTTCTCCCTGATTCCATCCCCTTCTCCTAGATTCCATCCCCTTCTCCCAGATTCCATCCCCTTCTCCCAGATTCCATCCCCTTCTCCCAGATTCCATCCCCTTCTCCCAGATTCCATCCCCTTCTCCCAGATTCCATCCCCTTCTCCCAGATTCCATCCCCTTCTCCCAGATTCCATCCCCTTCTCCCAGATTCTATCCCCTTCTCCCAGATTCCATCCCCTTCTCCAAGATTCCAACCCCTTCACCCTGATTCCATCCCCTTCTCCCAAATTCCATCCCATTCTCCCATATTTCATCCCCTTCTCCCAGATTCTATACCCTTCTCCCAGATTCCATCCCCTTCTCCCAGAATCCATCCCCTTCTCCCTGATTCCATCCCCTTCTCCCAGATTCCATCCCCTTCTCCCATAATCCATCCCCTTCTCCCAGATTCCATCCCCTTCTCCCAGATTCCATCCCCTTCTCCCAGATTCCATCCCCTTCTTCCAAATTCCATCCCCTTCTCCCAGATTCCATCCCCTTCTCCCAGATTTCATCCCCTTCTCCCTGATTCCACCCCCTTCTCCCAGATTCCAACCCCTTCTCCCAGATTCCATCCCCTTCTCCCATATTCCATCCCCTTCTCCCATATTCCATCCCTTTCTCCCAGATTCCATCCCCTTCTCCCAGATTCCATCCCCTTCTCCCAGATTCCATCCCCTTCTCCCAAATTCTATCCCCTTCTCCGAGATTCCATCCCCTTCTCCCAGATTCCAACCCCTTCTCCCAGATTCCATCCCCATCTCCCTCATTCGATCCCCTTCTCCCCGATTCCATCCCCTTCTCCCAGATTCCATCCCCTTCTCCCATATTCCATCCCCTACTCCCAGATTCCATCCCCTTCTCCCAGATTCCATCCCCTTCTCCCTGATTCCATCCCCTTCTCCCAGATTCCATCCCCTTCTCCCAGATTCCACACCCTTCTCCCAAATTCCATCCCCTTTTCCCAGATTCCATCCCCTTCTCCCAGATTCCATCCCCTTCTCCCAGATTCCATCCCCTTCTCCCAGATTCCATCCCCTTCTCCCAGATTCCATCCCCTTCTCCCAGATTCCATCCCCTTCTCCCAGATTCCATCCCCTTCTCCCAAATTCCATCCCATTCTCCCAGATTTCATCCCTTTCTCCCAGAATCCATCTCCTTCTCCCAGATTCCATCCCCTTCTCCCAGATTCCATCCCCTTCTCCCATAATCCATCCCCTTCTCCCAGATTCCATCCCCTTCTCCCAGATTCCATCCCCTTCTCCCAGATTCCATCCCCTTCTCCCAAATTCCATCCCCTTCTCCCAGATTCCATCCCCTTCTCCCAGATTCCATCCCCTTCTCCCAGATTCCATCCCCTTCTCCCAGATTCCATCCCCTTCTCCCAGATTCCATCCCCTTCTCCCATATTCCATCCCCTTCTCCCAGATTCCATCCCCTTCTCCCAAATTCTATCCCCTTCTCCGAGATTCCATCCCCTTCTCCCAGATTCCAACCCCTTCTCCCAGATTCCATCCCCTTCTCCCTCATTCGATCCCCTTCTCCCCGATTCCATCCCCTTCTCCCAGATTCCATCCCCTTCTCCCATATTCCATCCCCTTCTCCCAGATTCCATCCCCTTCTCCCAGATTCCATCCCCTTCTCCCTGATTCCATCCCCTTCTCCCAGATTCCATCCCCTTCTCCCAGATTCCACACCCTTCTCCCAAATTCCATCCCCTTCTCCTAGATTCCATCCCCTTCTCCCAGATTCCATCCCCTTCTCCCAGATTCCATCCCCTTCTCCCAGATTCCATCCCCTTCTCCCAGATTCCATCCCCTTCTCCCAGATTCCATCCCCTTCTTCCAGATTCCATCCATTTCTCCCTCATTCCATCCCCTTCTCACTGATTCCATCCCCTTCTCCCAGATTCCATCCCCTTCTCCCAGATTCCATCCCCTTCTCCCAGATTCCATCCCCTTCTCCCAGATTCCATCCCCTTCTCCCAGATTCCAACCCCTTCTCCCCGATTCCACCCCCTTCTCCCAGATTCCATCCCCTTCTCCCTGATTCCATCCCCTTCTCCCAGATTCCATCCCCTTCTCCCAGATTCCATCCCCTTCTCCCTGATTCCATCCCCTTCTCCCAGATTCTATCCCCTTCTCCCAGATTCCATCCCCTTCTCCCAGATTCCATCCCCTTCACCCAGATTCCATCCCCTTCTCCCAGATTTCATCCCCTTCTCCCAAATTCCATCCCATTCTCCTTGATTTCATCCCCTTCTTCCAGATTCTATACCCTTCTCCCAGATTCCATCCCCTTCTCCCAGATTCCAACCCCTTCTCCCCGATTCCACCCCCTTCTCCCAGATTCCATCCCCTTCTCCCTGATTCCATCCCCTTCTCCCAGATTCCATCCCCTTCTCCCAGATTCCATCCCCTTCTCCTTGATTCCATCCCCTTCTCCCAGATTCTATCCCCTTCTCCCAGATTCCATCCCCTTCTCCCAGATTCCATCCCCTTCACCCAGATTCCATCCCCTTCTCCCAGATTCCATCCCCTTCTCCCAAATTCCATCCCATTCTCCTTGATTTCATCCCCTTCTTCCAGATTCTATACCCTTCTCCCAGATTCCATCCCCTTCTCCCAGAATCCATCCCCTTCTCCCATATTCCATCCCCTTCTTCCAGATTCCATCCCATTCTCCCAGATTCCATCCCCTTCTCCCCGATTCCATCCCCTTCTCCCAGATTCTATCCCCTTCTCCCAGATTCCATCCCCTTCTCCTCGATTCCATCCCCTTCTCCCAGATTCCATCCCCTTCTCCCAGATGCCATCCCCTTCTCCCAGATTCCATCCCCTTCTCCCAGGTCCCACCCCCTTCTCCCAGATTCCACCCCCTTCTCCCAGATTCCATCCCCTTCTCCCTGATTCCATCCCCTTCTCCCAGATTCCATCCCCTTCTCCTAGATTCCATCCCCTTCTGCCATATTCCATCCCCTTCTCCCAGATTCCATCCCCTTCTCCCAGATTTTATTCCCTTCTCCCTGATTCCACCCCCTTCTCCCAGATTCCATCCCCTTCTCCCAGATTCCATCCCCTTCTCCCATATTCCATCCCCTTCTCCCATATTCCATCCCTTTCTCCCAGATTCCATCCCCTTCTCCCAGATTCCATCCCCTTCTCCTAGATTCCATCCCCTTCTCCCAGATTCTATCCCCTTCTCCCAAATTCCATCCCCTTCTCCCAGATTCCACCCCCTTCTCCCAGATTCCATCCCCTTCTCCCAGATTCCATCCCCTTCTCCCTGATTCCATCCCCTTCTCCCAGATTCCATCCCCTTCTCCCAGATTCCATCCCCTTCTCCCAGATTCCATCCCCTTCTCCCAGATTTCATCCCCTTCTCCCAGATTCCACCCCCTTCTCCCAGATTCCATCTCCTTCTCCCAGATTCCATCCCCTTCTCCCAGATTTTATCCCCTTCTCCCTGATTCCACCCCCTTCTCCCAGATTCCATCCCCTTCTCCCAGATTCCATCCCCTTCTCCCAAATTCTATCCCCTTCTCCCATATTCCATCCCTTTCTCCCAGATTCCATCCCCTTCTCCCAGATTCCATCCCCTTCTCCCAAATTCCATCCCCTTCTCCCAGATTCTATCCCCTTCTCCCAGATTCCATCCCCTTCTCCCACATTCCACCCCCTTCTCCCGGATTCCACCCCCTTCTCCCAGATTCCATCCCCTTCTCCCAGATTCCATCCCCTTCTCCTAGATTCCATCCCCTTCTGCCATATTCCATCCCCTTCTCCCAGATTCCATCCCCTTCTCCCAGATTTTATTCCCTTCTCCCTGATTCCACCCCCTTCTCCCAGATTCCATCCCCTTCTCCCAGATTCCATCCCCTTCTCCCATATTCCATCCCCTTCTCCCATATTCCATCCCTTTCTCCCAGATTCCATCCCCTTCTCCCAGATTCCATCCCCTTCTCCCAGATTCCATCCCCTTCTCCCAGATTCTATCCCCTTCTCCCAAATTCCATCCCCTTCTCCCAGATTCCACCCCCATCTCCCAGATTCCATCCCCTTCTCCCAGATTCCATCCCCTTCTCCCCGATTCCATCCCCTTCTCCCAGATTCCATCCCCTTCTCCCAGATTCCATCCCCTTCTCCCAGATTCCATCCCCTTCTCCCAGATTTCATCCCCTTCTCCCAGATTCCACCCCCTTCTCCCAGATTCCATCTCCTTCTCCCAGATTCCATCCCCTTCTCCCAGATTTCATCCCCTTCTCCCTGATTCCACCCCCTTCTCCCAGATTCCATCCCCTTCTCCCAAATTCCATCCCCTTCTCCCAGATTCTATCCCCTTCTCCCAGATTCCATCCCCTTCTCCCACATTCCACCCCCTTCTCCTAGATTCCACCCCCTTCTCCCAGATTCCATCCCCTTCTCCGAGATTCCATCCCCTTCTCCTAGATTCCATCCCCTTCTGCCATATTCCATCCCCTTCTCCCAGATTCCATCCCCTTCTCCCAGATTTTATTCCCTTCTCCCTGATTCCACCCCCTTCTCCCAGATTCCATCCCCTTCTCCTAGATTCCATCCCCTTCTCCCATATTCCATCCCCTTCTCCCATATTCCATCCCTTTCTCCCAGATTCCATCCCCTTCTCCCATATTCCATCCCCTTCTCCCAGATTCCATCCCCTTCTCCCAGATTCTATCCCCTTCTCCCAAATTCCATCCTCTTCTCCGAGATTCCACCCCTTTCTCCCAGATTCCATCCCCTTCTCCCAGATTCCATCCCCTTCTCCCTGATTCCATCCCCTTCTCCCAGATTCCATCCCCTTCTCCCAGATTCCATCCCCTTCTCCCAGATTCCATCCCCTTCTCCCAGATTTCATCCCCTTCTCCCAGATTCCACCCCCTTCTCCCAGATTCCATCTCCTTCTCCCAGATTCCATCCCCTTCTCCCAGATTTCATCCCCTTCTCCCTGATTCCACCCCCTTCTCCCAGATTCCATCCCCTTCTCCCAGATTCCATCCCCTTCTCCCAAATTCTATCCCCTTCTCCCATATTCCATCCCTTTCTCCCAGATTCCATCCCCTTCTCCCAGATTCCATCCCCTTCTCCCAAATTCCATCCCCTTCTCCCAGATTCTATCCCCTTCTCCCAGATTCCATCCCCTTCTCCCACATTCCACCCCCTTCTCCCAGATTCCACCCCCTTCTCCCAGATTCCATCCCCTTCTCCCAGTTTCCATCCCCTTCTTCCTGATTCCATCCCCTTCTCCCAGAATCCATCCCCTTCTCCCAGCTTTCATCCCCTTCTCCCAGATTCCATCCCCTTCTCCCAGATTTCATCCCCTTCTCCCAGATTCCACCCCCTTCTCCCAGATGCCATCCCCTTCTCCCAGATTCCATCCCCTTCTCCCAGATTCCATCCCCCTCCAGATTCCATCCCCTTCTCCCTCATTCCATCCCCTTCTCTCCGATTCCATCCCCTTCTCCCACATTCCATCCCCTTCTCCCATATTCCATCCCCTTCTCCCAGATTCCATCCCCTTCTCCCAGATTTCATCCCCTTCTCCCTGATTCCACCCCCTTCTCCCAGATTCCATCCCCTTCCCAGAATCCATCCCCTTCTCCCAGATTCCATCCCCTTCTCCCAGATTCCATCCCCTTCTCCCTTGATTCCATCCCCTTCTCCCAGATTCCACCCCCTTCTCCCAGATTCCACCCCCTTCTCCCACATTCCATCCCCTTCTCCCTGATTCCATCCCCTTCTCCCAGATTCCATCCCCTTCTCCTAGATTCCATCATCTTCTCCCATATTCCATCCCCTTCTCCCAGATTCCATCCCCTTCTCTCATATTCCATCCCCTTCTCCCATATTCCATCCCCTTCTCCCAGATTTCATCCCCTTCTCCCATATTCCACCCCCTTCTCCCAGATTCCATCCCCTTTCCCAGATTCCATCCCCTTCTCCCAAATTCCATCCCCTTCTTCTAGATTCCATCCCCTTCTCCCTGATTCCATCCCCTTCTCCCAGATTCCATCCCCTTCTCCCAGATTCCATCCCCTTCTCCCAGCTTCCATCCCCTTCACCCGAATTCCACCCCCTTCTCCCAGATTCCATCCCCTTCTCCCAGATTCCATCCCCTTCTCCCTGATTCCATCCCCTTCTCCTAGATTCCATCCCATTCTCCCAGATTCCATCCCCTTCTCCCGGATTCCATCCCCTTCTCCATGATTCCATCCCCTTCTCCTAGATTCCATCCCCTTCTCCCAGATTTCATCCCCTTCTCCCTGATTCCACCCCCTTCTCACAGATTCCATCCCCTTCTCCCTGATTCCATCCCCTTCTTCTAGATTCCATCCCCTTCTCCCAGATTCCATCCCTTTCTCCCAGATTCCACCCCCTTCTCCCAGATTCCATCCCCTTCTCCCAGATTCCATCCCCTTCTCCCAGATTCCATCCCCTTCTCCCAGATTCCATCCCCTTTTCCCAGATTCCATCCCCTTCTCCCAAATTCCATCCCATTCTCCCAGATTTCATCCCCTTCTCCCAGATTCCATCCCCTTCTCCCAGAATCCATCCCCTTCTCCCAGATTCCATCCCCTTCTCCCAGATTCCATCCCCTTCTCCCAAATTCCATCCCCTTCTCCCAGATTCCATCCCCTTCTCCCAGATTTCATCCCCTTCTCCCTGATTCCACCCCCTTCTCCCAGATTCCATCCCCTTCTCCCAGATTCCATCCCCTTCTCCCATATTCCATCCCCTTCTCCCATATTCCATCCCTTTCTCCCAGATTCCATCCCCTTCTCCCAGATTCCATCCCCTTCTCCCATATTCCATCCCCTTCTCCCAGATTCTATCCCCTTCTCCCAGATTCCATCCCCTTCTCCAAGATTCCAACCCCTTCACCCTGATTCCATCCCCTTCTCCCAAATTCCATCCCATTCTCCCATATTTCATCCCCTTCTCCCAGATTCTATACCCTTCTCCAAGATTCCATCCCCTTCTCCCAGAATCCATCCCCTTCTCCCAGATTCCATCCCCTTCTCCCAGATTCCATCCCCTTCTCCCATAATCCATCCCCTTCTCCCAGATTCCATCCCCTTCTCCCAGATTCCATCCCCTTCTCCCAGATTCCATCCCCTTCTCCCAAATTCCATCCCCTTCTCCCAGATTCCATCCCCTTCTCCCAGATTTCATCCCCTTCTCCCTGATTCCACCCCCTTCTCCCAGATTCCAACCCCTTCTCCCAGATTCCATCCCCTTCTCCCATATTCCATCCCCTTCTCCCATATTCCATCCCTTTCTCCGAGATTCCATCCCCTTCTCCCAGATTCCATCCCCTTCTCCCAGATTCCATCCCCTTCTCCCAGATTCTATCCCCTTCTCCGAGATTCCATCCCCTTCTCCCAGATTCCAACCCCTACTCCCAGATTCCATCCCCTTCTCCCTCAGTCGATCCCCTTCTCCCCGATTCCATCCCCTTCTCCCAGATTCCATCCCCTTCTCCCATATTCCATCCCCTTCTCCCAGATTCCATCCCCTTCTCCCAGATTCCATCCGCTTCTCCCTGATTCCATCCCCTTCTCCCAGATTCCATCCCCTTCTCCCAGATTCCACACCCTTCTCCCAAATTCCATCCCCTTCTCCCAGATTCCATCCCCTTCTCCCAGATTCCATCCCCTTCTCCCAGATTCCATCCCCTTCTCCCAGATTCCATCCCTTCTCCCAGATTCCATTCCCTTCTCCCAGATTCCATCCCCTTCTTCCAGATTCCATCCATTTCTCCCTCATTCCATCCCCTTCTCACTGATTCCATCCCCTTCTCCCAGATTCCATCCCCTTCTCCTAGATTCCATCCCCTTCTCCCAGATTCCATCCCCTTCTCCCAGATTCCATCCCCTTCTCCCAGATTCCAACCCCTTCTCCCAGATTCCACCCCCTTCTCCCAGATTCCATCCCCTTCTCCCTGATTCCATCCCCTTCTCCCAGATTCCATCCCCTTCTCCCAGATTCCATCCCCTTCTCCCAGATTCCATCCCCTTCTCCCAGATTCTATCCCCTTCTCCCAGATTCCATCCCCTTCTCCCTGATTCCATCCCCTTCACCTAGATTCCATCCCCTTCTCCCAGATTCCATCCCCTTCTCCCAAATTCCATCCCATTCTCCTTGATTTCATCCCCTTCTCCCAGATTCTATACCCTTCTCCCAGATTCCATCCCCTTCTCCCAAATTCCATCCCATTCTCCTTGATTTCATCCCCTTCTCCCAGATTCTATACCCTTCTCCCAGATTCCATCCCCTTCTCCCAGAATCCATCCCCTTCTCCCATATTCCATCCCCTTCTTCCAGATTCCATCCCATTCTCCCAGATTCCATCCCCTTCTCCCCGATTCCATCCCCTTCTCCCAGATTCTATCCCCTTCTCCCAGATTCCATCCCCTTCTCCCAGATTCCATCCCCTTCTCCCAGATTCCATCCCCTTCTCCCAGATGCCATCCCCTTCTCCCAGATTCCATCCCCTTCTCCCAGGTCCCACCCCCTTCTCCCAGATTCCACCCCCTTCTCCCAGATTCCATCCCCTTCTCCCTGATTCCATCCCCTTCTCCCAGATTCCATCCCCTTCTCCTAGATTCCATCCCCTTCTGCCATATTCTATCCCCTTCTCCAAGATTCCATCCCCTTCTCCCAGATTTTATTCCCTTCTCCCTGATTCCACCCCCTTCTCCGAGATTCCATCCCCTTCTCCCAGATTCCATCCCCTTCTCCCAGATTCCATCCCCTTCTCCCAGATTCTATCCCCTTCTCCCAAATTCCATCCCCTTCTCCCAGATTCCACCCCCTTCTCCCAGATTCCATCCCCTTCTCCCAGATTCCATCCCCTTCTCCCTGATTCCATCCCCTTCTCCCAGATTCCATCCCCTTCTCCCAGATTCCATCCCCTTCTCCCAGATTCCATCCCCTTCTCCCAAATTTCATCCCCTTCTCCCTGATTGCACCCCCTACTCCCAGATTCCATCCCCTTCTCCCATATTCCATCCCCTTCTCCCAAATTCTATCCCCTTCTCCCATATTCCATCCCTTTCTCCCTGATTCCATCCCCTTTCCCCCAGATTCCATCCCCTTCTCCCAAATTCCATCCCCTTCTCCCAGATTCTATCCCCTTCTCCCAGATTCCATCCCCTTCTCCCACATTCCACCCCCTTCTCCCAGATTCCACCCCCTTCTCCCAGATTCCATCCCCTTCTCCCAGTTTCCATCCCCTTCTTCCTGATTCCATCCCCTTCTCCCAGAATCCATCCCCTTCTCCCAGATTCCATCCCCTTCTCCCAGATTCCATCCCCTTCTCCCAGATTTCATCCCCTTCTCCCAGATTCCACCCCCTTCTCCCAGATGCCATCCCCTTCTCCCTCATTCCATCCCCTTCTCCCCGATTCCATCCCCTTCTCCCAGATTCCATCCCCTTCTCCCATATTCCATCCCCTTCTCCCAGATTCCATCCCCTTCTCCCAGATTTCATCCCCTTCTCCTTGATTCCACCCCCTTCTCCCAGATTCCATCCCCTTTCCCAGAATCCATCCCCTTCTCCCAGATTCCATCCCCTTCTCCCAGATTCCATCCCCTTCTCCCTTGATTCCATCCCCTTCTCCCAGATTCCACCCCCTTCTCCCAGATTCCTCCCCCTTCTCCCACATTCCATCTCCTTTACCCTGATTCCATCCCCTTCTCCCAGATTCCATCCCCTTCTCCTAGATTCCATCCCCTTCTCCCATATTCCATCCCCTTCTCCCAGATTCCATCCCCTTGTCCCAGATTTCATCCCCTTCTCCCTGATTCTACCCCCTTCTCCCAGATTCCATCCCCTTTCCCAGAATCCATCCCCTTCTCCCAGATTCCATCCCCTTCTCCCAGATTCCATCCCCTTCTCCCTTGATTCCATCCCCTTCTCCCAGATTCCATCCCCTTCTACCAGATTCCATCCCCTTCTCCCAGATTCCATCCCTTTCTTCCAGATTCCACCCCCTTCTCCCAGATTCCATCCCCTTCTCCCAGATTCCATCCCCTTCTTCCTTATTCCATCCCCTTCTCCTATATTCCATCCCCTTCTTCCAGATTCCATCCCCTTCTCCCAGATTCCATCCCCTTCTCCCAGATTCCATCCCCTTCTCCCTGATTCCATCCCCTTCTCCCAGATTCCATCCCCTTCTCCCAGATTCCACCCCCTTCTTCAAGATTCCACCCCCTTCTCCCAGATCCCATCCCCTTCTCCCTGATTCAATCCCCTTCTCCCAGATTCCATCCCCTTCTCCCCGATTCCATCCCCTTCTCCCAGATTCCATCCCCTTCTCCCAGATTCCACCCCCTTCTCCCAGATTCCTCCCCCTTCTCCCACATTCCATCTCCTTTACCCTGATTCCATCCCCTTCTCCCAGATTCCATCCCCTTCTCCTAGATTCCATCCCCTTCTCCCATATTCCATCCCCTTCTCCCAGATTCCATCCCCTTGTCCCAGATTTCATCCCCTTCTCCCTGATTCTACCCCCTTCTCCCAGATTCCATCCCCTTTCCCAGAATCCATCCCCTTCTCCCAGATTCCATCCCCTTCTCCCAGATTCCATCCCCTTCTCCCTTGATTCCATCCCCTTCTCCCAGATTCCATCCCCTTCTTCCAGATTCCATCCCCTTCTCCCAGATTCCATCCCTTTCTTCCAGATTCCACCCCCTTCTCCCAGATTCCATCCCCTTCTCCCAGATTCCATCCCCTTCTTCCTTATTCCATCCCCTTCTCCTATATTCCATCCCCTTCTTCCAGATTCCATCCCCTTCTCCCAGATTCCATCCCCTTCTCCTAGATTCCATCCCCTTCTCCCTGATTCCATCCCCTTCTCCTAGATTCCATCCCCTTCTCCCAGATTCCACCCCCTTCTCCAAGATTCCACCCCCTTCTCCCAGATCCCATCCCCTTCTCCCTGATTCAATCCCCTTCTCCCAGATTCCATCCCCTTCTCCCAGATTCCATCCCCTTCTCCCAGATTCCATCCCCTTCTCCCAGATTCCATCCCCTTCTCGTAGATTCCATCCCCTTCTCCCAGATTCCATCCCCTTCTCCCAGATTCCATCCCCTTCTCCCAGATTCCACCCCCTTCTCCCAGATTTTATCCCCTTCTCCAAGATTCCATCCCCTTCTCCCAGATTCTATCCCCTTCTCCCAGATTCCATCCCCTTCTTCCAGATTCCATCCCAGATTCCATCCCCTTCTCCCAGATTCCATCCCCTTCTCCCACATTCCATCCCCTTCTCCCACATTCCATCCCCTTCTCCCAGATTCCACCCCCTTCTCCCTGATTCCATCCCCTTCTCCCAGATTCCATCCCCTTCTCCCATATTCTATCCCCTTCTCACATATTCCATCCCCTTCTCCTAGATTCCATCCCCTTCTCCCAGATTTCATCCCCTTCTCCCTGATTCCACCCCCTTCTCCCAGATTCCATCCCCTTTCCCAGAATCCATCCTCTTCTCCCAGATTCCATCCCCTTCTCCCAGATTCCATCCCCTTCTCCCTGATTCCATCCCCTTCTCCCAGATTCCATCCCCTTCTCCCAGATTCCATCCCCTTCTCCCAGATTCCATCCCCTTCTCCCAGATTCCACCCCCTTCTCCCAGATTCCATCCCCTTCTCCAGATTCCATCCCCTTCTCCCTGATTCCATCCCCTTCTCCTAGATTCCATCCCCTTCTCCCAGATTCCATCCCCTTCTCCCAGATTCCATCCCCTTCTCCCTGATTCCATCCCCTTCTCCTAGATTCCATCCCCTTCTCCCGGATTTCATCCCCTTCTCCCTGATTCCACCCCCTTCTCCCAGATTCCATCCCCTTCTCCCTGATTCCATCCCCTTCTCCTAGATTCCATCCCCTTCTCCCAGATTCCATCCCCTTCTCCCAGATTCCATCCCCTTCTCCTAGATTCCATCCCCTTCTCCCAGATTCCATTCCCTTCTCCCTGATTCCATCCCCTTCTCCCAGATTCCATCCCCTTCTCCCAGATTCCATCCCTCTCTCCCAGATTCCATCCACTTCTCCCTGATTCCACCCCCTTCTCCCAGATTCCATCCCCTTCTCCCAGATTCCACCCCCTTCTCCCAGATTCCATCCCCTTCTCCAGATTCCATCCCCTTCTCCCTGATTCCATCCCCTTCTCCCTGATTCCATCCCCTTCTCCCAGATTCCACCCCCTTCTCCCTGATTCCACCCCCTTCTCCTAGATTCCATCCCCTTCTCCCAGATTCCATCCCCTTCTCCCAGATTCCATCCCCTTCTCCGAGATTCCATCCCCTTCTCCCTGATTCCATCCCCTTCTCCTAGATTCCATCCCCTTCTCCCAGATTTCATCCCCTTCTCCCTGATTCCACCCCCTTCTCCCAGATTCCATCCCCTTCTCCCTGATTCCATCCCCTTCTCCTAGATTCCATCCCCTTCTCCCAGATTCCATCCCCTTCTCCCAGATTCCATCCCCTTCTCCTAGATTCCATCCCCTTCTCCCAGATTCCATCCCCTTCTCCCAGATTCCATCCCCTTGTCCTAGATTCCATCCCCTTCTCCCAGATTCCATCCCTCTCTCCCAGATTCCATCCACTTCTCCCAGATTCCACCCCCTTCTCCCAGATTCCATCCCCTTCTCCCAAATTCCATCCCCTTGTGCCTGATTCCATCCCCTTCTCCTATATTCCATCCCCTTCTCCCAGATTCCATTCCCTTCTCCCAGATTCTATCCCCTTCTCCCAGATTCCATCCCTTTCTTCCAGATTCCATCCCCTTCTCCCAGATTCCATCCCCTTCTCCCAGATTCCATCCCCTTCTCCCTGATTCCATCCCCTTCTCCCAGATTCCACCCCCTTCTCCCTGATTCCACCCCCTTCTCCCAGATTCCATCCCCTTCTCCCTGATTCCATCCCCTTCTCCTAGATTCCATCCCCTTCTCCCAGATTCCATCCCCTTCTCCCAGATTCCATCCCCATCTCCCAGATTCCATCCCCTTCTCCTAGATTCCATCCCCTTCTCCCAGATTCCATCCCCTTCTCCCAAAGTTCATCCCCTTCTCCCAGATTCCACCCCTTTCTCCCAGATTCCATCCCCTTCTCCCAGATTCCATCCCCTTCTCCCAGATTCCATCCCCTTCTCCCAGATTCCATCCCCTTCTCCCAAATTCCATCCCATTCTCCCAGATTTCATCCCCTTCTCCCAGATTCCACCCCCTTCTCCCAGATTCCATCTCCTTCTCCCTGATTCCATCCCCTTCTCCCATATTCCATCCCCTTCTCCCAGATTCCATCCCCTTCTCCCAGATTCCATCCCCTTCTCCCAAATTCCATCCCATTCTCCCAGATTTCATCCCCTTCTCCCAGATTCCACCCCCTTCTCCCAGATTCCATCTCCTTCTCCCTGATTCCATCCCCTTCTCCCTGATTCCATCCCCTTCTCCCAGATTCCATCCCTTCTCCCAGATTCCATCCCCATCTCCCTCATTCGATCCCCTTCTCCCCGATTCCATCCCCTTCTCCCAGATTCCATCCCCTTCTCCCATATTCCATCCCCTTCTCCCAGATTCCATCCCCTTCTCCCAGATTCCATCCCCTTCTCCCTGATTCCATCCCCTTCTCCCAGATTCCATCCCCTTCTCCCAGATTCCACACCCTTCTCCCAAATTCCATCCCCTTTTCCAAGATTCCATCCCCTTCTCCCAGATTCCATCCCCTTCTCCCAGATTCCATCCCCTTCTCCCAGATTCCATCCCCTTCTCCCAGATTCCATCCCCTTCTCCCGGATTCCATCCCCTTCTTCCAGATTCCATCCATTTCTCCCTCATTCCATCCCCTTCTCACTGATTCCATCCCCTTCTCCCAGATTCCATCCCCTTCTCCCAGATTCCATCCCCTTCTCCCAGATTCCATCCCCTTCTCGCAGATTCCATCCCCTTCTCCCAGATTCCATCCCCTTCTCCCAAATTCCATCCCATTCTCCCAGATTTCATCCCCTTCTCCCACAATCCATCTCCTTCTCCCAGATTCCATCCCCTTCTCCCAGATTCCATCCCCTTCTCCCATAATCCATCCCCTTCTCCCAGATTCCATCCCCTTCTCCCAGATTCCATCCCCTTCTCCCAGATTCCATCCCCTTCTCCCAAATTCCATCCCCTTCTCCCAGATTCCATCCCCTTCTCCCAGATTTCATCCCCTTCTCCCTGATTCCACCCCCTTCTCCCAGATTCCAACCCCTTCTCCCAGATTCCATCCCCTTCTCCCAGATTCCATCCCCTTCTCCCATATTCCATCCCCTTCTCCCAGATTCCATCCCCTTCTCCCAGATTTCATCCCCTTCTCCCAGATTCCACCCCCTTCCCCCAGATTCCATCCCCTTTCCCAGATTCCATCCCCTTCTCCCAAATTCCATCCCCTTCTTCCAGATTCCATCCCCTTCTCCCTGATTCCATCCCCTTCTCCCAGATTCCATCCCCTTCTCCCAGATTCCATCCCCTTCTCCCAGATTCCATCCCCTTCACCCGGATTCCACCCCCTTCTCCCAGATTCCATCCCCTTCTCCCAGATTCCATCCCCTTCTCCCTGATTCCATCCCCTTCTCCTAGATTCCATCCCCTTCTCCCAGATTCCTTTCCCTTCTCCCAGATTCCATCTCCTTCTCCCGGATTCCATCCCCTTCTCCATGATTCCATCCCCTTCTCCTAGATTCCATCCCCTTCTCCCAGATTCCATCCCCTTCTCCCTGATTCCACACCCTTCTCACAGATTCCATCCCCTTCTCCCTGATTCCATCCCCTTCTTCTAGATTCCATCCCCTTCTCCCAGATTCCATCCCTTTCTCCCAGATTCCACCCCCTTCTCCCAGATTCCATCCCCTTCTCCCAGATTCCATCCCGTTCTCCCAGATTCCATCCCCTTCTCCTAGATTCCATCCCCTTCTCCCAGATTCCATCCCCTTCTCCCAAATTCCATCCCATTCTCCCAGATTTCATCCCCTTCTCCCAGATTCTATACCCTTCTCCCAGATTCCATCCCCTTCTCCCAGAATCCATCCCCTTCTCCCAGATTCCATCCCCTTCTCCCAGATTCCATCCCCTTCTCCCATAATCCATCCCCTTCTCCCAGATTCCATCCCCTTCTCCCAGATTCCATCCCCTTCTCCCAGATTCCATCCCCTTCTCCCAAATTCCATCCCCTTCTCCCAGATTCCATCCCCTTCTCCTAGATTTCATCCCCTTCTCCCTGATTCCAACCCCTTCTCCCAGATTCCATCCCCTTCTCCCAGATTCCATCCCCTTCTCCCATATTCCATCCCCTTCTCCCATATTCCATCCCTTTCTCCCAAATTCCATCCCCTTCTCCTAGATTCCATCCCCTTCTCCCAGATTCCATCCCCTTCTCCCAGATTCTATCCCCTTCTCCCAGATTCCATCCCCTTCTCCAAGATTCCAACCCCTTCACCCTGATTCCATCCCCTTCTCCCAAATTCCATCCCATTCTCCCATATTTCATCCCCTTCTCCCAGATTCTATACCCTTCTCCCAGATTCCATCCCCCTCTCCCAGAATCCATCCCCTTCTCCCAGATTCCATCCCCTTCTCCCAGATTCCATCCCCTTCTCCCATAATCCATCCCCTTTTCCCAGATTCCATCCCCTTCTCCCAGATTCCATCCCCTTCTCCCAGATTCCATCCCCTTCTCCCAAATTCCATCCCCTTCTCCCAGATTCCATCCCCTTCTCCCAGATTTCATCCCCTTCTCCCTGATTCCACCCCCTTCTCCCAGATTCCAACCCCTTCTCCCAGATTCCATCCCGTTCTCCCATATTCCATCCCCTTCTCCCATATTCCATCCCTTTCTCCCTGATTCCATCCCCTTCTCCCAGATTCCATCCCCTTCTCCCAGATTCCATCCCCTTCTCCCAAATTCTATCCCCTTCTCCGAGATTCCATCCCCTTCTCCCAGATTCCAACCCCTTCTCCCAGATTCCATCCCCTTCTCCCTCATTCGATCCCCTTCTCCCCGATTCCATCCCCTTCTCCCAGATTCCATCCCCTTCTCCCATATTCCATCCCCTTCTCCCAGATTCCATCCCCTTCTCCCAGATTCCATCCCCTTCTCCCTGATTCCATCCCCTTCTCCCAGATTCCATCCCCTTCTCCCAGATTCCACACCCTTCTCCCAAATTCCATCCCCTTCTCCTAGATTCCATCCCCTTCTCCCAGATTCCATCCCCTTCTCCCAGATTCCATCCCCTTCTCCCAGATTCCATCCCCTTCTCCCAGATTCCATCCCCTTCTCCCAGATTCCATCCCCTTCTTCCAGATTCCATCCATTTCTCCCTCATTCCATCCCCTTCTCACTGATTCCATCCCCTTCTCCCAGATTCCATCCCCTTCTCCCAGATTCCATCCCCTTCTCCCAGATTCCATCCCCTTCTCCCAGATTCCATCCCCTTCTCCCAGATTCCAACCCCTTCTCCCAGATTCCACCCCCTTCTCCCAGATTCCATCCCCTTCTCCCTGATTCCATCCCCTTCTCCCAGATTCCATCCCCTTCTCCCAGATTCCATCCCCTTCTCCCTGATTCCATCCCCTTCTCCCAGATTCTATCCCCTTCTCCCAGATTCCATCCCCTTCTCCCAGATTCCATCCCCTTCACCCAGATTCCATCCCCTTCTCCCAGATTCCATCCCCTTCTCCCAAATTCCATCCCATTCTCCTTGATTTCATCCCCTTCTTCCAGATTCTATACCCTTCTCCCAGATTCCATCCCCTTCTCCCAGAATCCATCCCCTTCTCCCATATTCCATCCCCTTCTTCCAGATTCCATCCCATTCTCCCAGATTCCATCCCCTTCTCCCCGATTCCATCCCCTTCTCCCAGATTCTATCCCCTTCTCCCAGATTCCATCCCCTTCTCCTCGATTCCATCCCCTTCTCCCAGATTCCATCCCCTTCTCCCAGGTCCCACCCCCTTCTCCCAGATTCCACCCCCTTCTCCCAGATTCCATCCCCTTCTCCCTGATTCCATCCCCTTCTCCCAGATTCCATCCCCTTCTCCTAGATTCCATCCCCTTCTGCCATATTCCATCCCCTTCTCCCAGATTCCATCCCCTTCTCCCAGATTTTATTCCCTTCTCCCTGATTCCACCCCCTTCTCCCAGATTCCATCCCCTTCTCCCAGATTCCATCCCCTTCTCCCATATTCCATCCCCTTCTCCCATATTCCATCCCTTTCTCCCAGATTCCATCCCCTTCTCCCAGATTCCATCCCCTTCTCCCAGATTCCATCCCCTTCTCCCAGATTCTATCCCCTTCTCCCAAATTCCATCCCCTTCTCCCAGATTCCACCCCCTTCTCCCAGATTCCATCCCCTTCTCCCAGATTCCACCCCCTTCTCCCAGATTCCACCCCCTTCTCCCAGATTCCACCCCCTTCTCCCAGATTCCACCCCCTTTCTCCCAGATTCCACCCCCTTCTCCCAGATTCCATCCCCTTCTCCTAGATTCCATCCCCTTCTGCCATATTCCATCCCCTTCTCCCAGATTCCATCCCCTTCTCCCAGATTTTATTCCCTTCTCCCTGATTCCACCCCCTTCTCCCAGATTCCATCCCCTTCTCCCAGATTCCATCCCCTTCTCCCATATTCCATCCCCTTCTCCCATATTCCATCCCTTTCTCCCAGATTCCATCCCCTTCTCCCAGATTCCATCCCCTTCTCCTAGATTCCATCCCCTTCTCCCATATTCTATCCCCTTCTCCCAAATTCCATCCCCTTCTCCGAGATTCCACCCCTTTCTCCCAGATTCCATCCCCTTCTCCCAGATTCCATCCCCTTCTCCCTGATTCCATCCCCTTCTCGCAGATTCCATCCCCTTCTCCCAGATTCCATCCCCTTCTCCCAGATTCCATCCCCTTCTCCCAGATTTCATCCCCTTCTCCCAGATTCCACCCCCTTCTCCCAGATTCCATCTCCTTCTCCCAGATTCCATCCCCTTCTCCCAGATTTCATCCCCTTCTCCCTGATTCCACCCCCTTCTCCCAGATTCCATCCCCTTCTCCCAGATTCCATCCCCTTCTCCCAAATTCTATCCCCTTCTCCCATATTCCATCCCTTTCTCCCAGATTCCATCCCCTTCTCCCAGATTCCATCCCCTTCTCCCAAATTCCATCCCCTTCTCCCAGATTCTATCCCCTTCTCCCAGATTCCATCCCCTTCTCCCACATTCCACCCCCTTCTCCCAGATTCCACCCCCTTCTCCCAAATTCCATCCCCTTCTCCCAGATTCCATCCCCTTCTCCTAGATTCCATCCCCTTCTGCCATATTCCATCCCCTTCTCCCAGATTCCATCCCCTTCTCCCAGATTTTATTCCCTTCTCCCTGATTCCACCCCCTTCTCCCAGATTCCATCCCCTTCTCCCAGATTCCATCCCCTTCTCCCATATTCCATCCCCTTCTCCCATATTCCATCCCTTTCTCCCAGATTCCATCCCCTTCTCCCAGATTCCATCCCCTTCTCCCAGATTCCATCCCCTTCTCCCATATTCTATCCCCTTCTCCCAAATTCCATCCCCTTCTCCGAGATTCCACCCCTTTCTCCCAGATTCCATCCCCTTCTCCCAGATTCCATCCCCTTCTCCCTGATTCCATCCCCTTCTCCCAGATTCCATCCCCTTCTCCCAGATTCCATCCCCTTCTCCCAGATTCCATCCCCTTCTCCCAGATTTCATCCCCTTCTCCCAGATTCCACCCCCTTCTCCCAGATTCCATCTCCTTCTCCCAGATTCCATCCCCTTCTCCCAGATTTCATCCCCTTCTCCCTGATTCCACCCCCTTCTCCCAGATTCCATCCCCTTCTCCCAGATTCCATCCCCTTCTCCCAAATTCTATCCCCTTCTCCCATATTCCATCCCTTTCTCCCAGATTCCATCCCCTTCTCCCAGATTCCATCCCCTTCTCCCAAATTCCATCCCCTTCTCCCAGATTCTATCCCCTTCTCCCAGATTCCATCCCCTTCTCCCACATTCCACCCCCTTCTCCCAGATTCCACCCCCTTCTCCCAGATTCCATCCCCTTCTCCCAGAATCCATCCCCTTCTCCCAGCTTCCATCCCCTTCTCCCAGATTCCATCCCCTTCTCCCAGATTTCATCCCCTTCTCCCAGATTCCACCCCCTTCTCCCAGATGCCATCCCCTTCTCCCAGATTCCATCCCCTTCTCCCAAATTCCATCCCCCTCCAGATTCCATCCCCTTCTCCCTCATTCCATCCCCTTCTCTCCGATTCCATCCCCTTCTCCCAGATTCCATCCCCTTCTCCCATATTCCATCCCCTTCTCCCAGATTCCATCCCCTTCTCCCAGATTTCATCCCCTTCTTCCTGATTCCACCCCCTTCTCCTAGATTCCATCCCCTTCCCAGAATCCATCCCCTTCTCCCAGATTCCATCCCCTTCTCCCAGATTCCATCCCCTTCTCCCTTGATTCCATCCCCTTCTCCCAGATTCCACCCCCTTCTCCCAGATTCCACCCCCTTCTCCCACATTCCATCCCCTTCTCCCTGATTCCATCCCCTTCTCCCAGATTCCATCCCCTTCTCCTAGATTCCATCATCTTCTCCCATATTCCATCCCCTTCTCCCAGATTCCATCCCCTTCTCCCATATTCCATCCCCTTCTCCCAGATTCCATCCCCTTCTCCCATATTTCATCCCCTTCTCCCATATTCCACCCCCTTCTCCCCGATTCCATCCCCTTTCCCAGATTCCATCCCCTTCTCCCAAATTCCATCCCCTTCTTCCAGATTCCATCCCCTTCTCCCTGATTCCATCCCCTTCTCCCAGATTCCATCCCCTTCTCCCAGATTCCATCCCCTTCTCCCAGATTCCATCCCCTTCACCCGGATTCCACCCCCTTCTCCCAGATTCCATCCCCTTCTCCCAGATTCCATCCCCTTCTCCCTGATTCCATCCCCTTCTCCTAGATTCCATCCCCTTCTCCCAGATTCCATCCCCTTCTCCCGGATTCCATCCCCTTCTCCATGATTCCATCCCCTTCTCCTAGATTCCATCCCCTTCTCCCAGATTTCATCCCCTTCTCCCTGATTCCACCCCCTTCTCACAGATTCCATCCCCTTCTCCCTGATTCCATCCCCTTCTTCTAGATTCCATCCCCTTCTCCCAGATTCCACCCCCTTCTCCCAAATTCCATCCCCTTCTCCCAGATTCCATCCCCTTCTCCTAGATTCCATCCCCTTCTGCCATATTCCATCCCCTTCTCCCAGATTCCATCCCCTTCTCCCAGATTTTATTCCCTTCTCCCTGATTCCACCCCCTTCTCCCAGATTCCATCCCCTTCTCCCAGATTCCATCCCCTTCTCCCATATTCCATCCCCTTCTCCCATATTCCATCCCTTTCTCCCAGATTCCATCCCCTTCTCCCAGATTCCATCCCCTTCTCCCAGATTCCATCCCCTTCTCCCATATTCTATCCCCTTCTCCCAAATTCCATCCCCTTCTCCGAGATTCCACCCCTTTCTCCCAGATTCCATCCCCTTCTCCCAGATTCCATCCCCTTCTCCCAGATTCCATCCCCTTCACCCGGATTCCACCCCCTTCTCCCAGATTCCATCCCCTTCTCCCAGATTCCATCCCCTTCTCCCTGATTCCATCCCCTTCTCCTAGATTCCATCCCCTTCTCCCAGATTCCATCCCCTTCTCCCGGATTCCATCCCCTTCTCCATGATTCCATCCCCTTCTCCTAGATTCCATCCCCTTCTCCCAGATTTCATCCCCTTCTCCCTGATTCCACCCCCTTCTCACAGATTCCATCCCCTTCTCCCTGATTCCATCCCCTTCTTCTAGATTCCATCCCCTTCTCCCAGATTCCATCCCTTTCTCCCAGATTCCACCCCCTTCTCCCAGATTCCATCCCCTTCTCCCAGATTCCATCCCCTTCTCCCAGATTCCATCCCCTTCTCCCAGATTCCATCCCCTTTTCCCAGATTCCATCCCCTTCTCCCAAATTCCATCCCATTCTCCCAGATATCATCCCCTTCTCCCAGATTCTATACCCTTCTCCCAGATTCCATCCCCTTCTCCCAGAATCCATCCCCTTCTCCCAGATTCCATCCCCTTCTCCCAGATTCCATCCCCTTCTCCCAAATTCCATCCCCTTCTCCCAGATTCCATCCCCTTCTCCCAGATTTCATCCCCTTCTCCCTGATTCCACCCCCTTCTCCCAGATTCCATCCCCTTCTCCCAGATTCCATCCCCTTCTCCCATATTCCATCCCCTTCTCCCATATTCCATCCCTTTCTCCCAGATTCCATCCCCTTCTCCCAGATTCCATCCCCTTCTCCCAGATTCCATCCCCTTCTCCCAGATTCTATCCCCTTCTCCCAGATTCCATCCCCTTCTCCAAGATTCCAACCCCTTCACCCTGATTCCATCCCCTTCTCCCAAATTCCATCCCATTCTCCCATATTTCATCCCCTTCTCCCAGATTCTATACCCTTCTCCAAGATTCCATCCCCTTCTCCCAGAATCCATCCCCTTCTCCCAGATTCCATCCCCTTCTCCCAGATTCCATCCCCTTCTCCCATAATCCATCCCCTTCTCCCAGATTCCATCCCCTTCTCCCAGATTCCATCCCCTTCTCCCAGATTCCATCCCCTTCTCCCAAATTCCATCCCCTTCTCCCAGATTCCATCCCCTTCTCCCAGATTTCATCCCCTTCTCCCTAATTCCACCCCCTTCTCCCAGATTCCAACCCCTTCTCCCAGATTCCATCCCCTTCTCCCATATTCCATCCCCTTCTCCCATATTCCATCCCTTTCTCCCAGATTCCATCCCCTTCTCCCAGATTCCATCCCCTTCTCCCAGATTCCATCCCCTTCTCCCAGATTCTATCCCCTTCTCCGAGATTCCATCCCCTTCTCCCAGATTCCAACCCCTTCTCCCAGATTCCATCCCCTTCTCCTTAGTCGATCCCCTTCTCCCCGATTCCATCCCCTTCTTCAGATTCCATCCCCTTCTCCCATATTCCATCCCCTTCTCCCAGATTCCATCCCCTTCTCCCAGATTCCATCCGCTTCTCCCTGATTCCATCCCCTTATCCCAGATTCCATCCCCTTCTCCCAGATTCCACACCCTTCTCCCAAATTCCATCCCCTTCTCCCAGATTCCATCCCCTTCTCCTAGATTCCATCCCCTTCTCCCAGATTCCATCCCCTTCTCCCAGATTCCATCCCTTCTCCCAGATTCCATCCCCTTCTCCCAGATTCCATCCCCTTCTTCCAGATTCCATCCATTTCTCCCTCATTCCATCCCCTTCTCACTGATTCCATCCCCTTCTCCCAGATTCCATCCCCTTCTCCCAGATTCCATCCCCTTCTCCCAGATTCCATCCCCTTCTCCCAGATTCCATCCCCTTCTCCCAGATTCCAACCCCTTCTCCCAGATTCCACCCCCTTCTCCCAGATTCCATCCCCTTCTCCCTGATTCCATCCCCTTCTCCCAGATTCCATCCCCTTCTCCCAGATTCCATCCCCTTCTCCCAGATTCCATCCCCTTCTCCCAGATTCTATCCCCTTCTCCCAGATTCCATCCCCTTCTCCCTGATTCCATCCCCTTCACCTAGATTCCATCCCCTTCTCCCAAATTCCATCCCCTTCTCCCAAATTCCATCCCATTCTCCTTGATTTCATCCCCTTCTCCCAGATTCTATACCCTTCTCCCAGATTCCATCCCCTTCTCCCAAATTCCATCCCATTCTCCTTGATTTCATCCCCTTCTCCCAGATTCTATACCCTTCTCCCAGATTCCATCCCCTTCTCCCAGAATCCATCCCCTTCTCCCATATTCCATCCCCTTCTTCCAGATTCCATCCCATTCTCCCAGATTCCATCCCCTTCTCCCCGATTCCATCCCCTTCTCCCAGATTCTATCCCCTTCTCCCAGATTCCATCCCCTTCTCCCAGATTCCATCCCCTTCTCCCAGATTCCATCCCCTTCTCCCAGATGCCATCCCCTTCTCCCAGATTCCATCCCCTTCTCCCAGGTCCCACCCCCTTCTCCCAGATTCCACCCCCTTCTCCCAGATTCCATCCCCTTCTCCCTGATTCCATCCCCTTCTCCCAGATTCCATCCCCTTCTCCTAGATTCCATCCCCTTCTGCCATATTCTATCCCCTTCTCCGAGATTCCATCCCCTTCTCCCAGATTTTATTCCCTTCTCCCTGATTCCACCCCCTTCTCCGAGATTCCATCCCCTTCTCCGAGATTCCAACCCCTTCTCCCAGATTCCATCCCCTTCTTCCAGATTCCATCCATTTCTCCCTCATTCCATCCCCTTCTCACTGATTCCATCCCCTTCTCCCAGATTCCATCCCCTTCTCCCAGATTCCATCCCCTTCTCCCAGATTCCATCCCCTTCTCCCAGATTCCATCCCCTTCTCCCAGATTCCAACCCCTTCTCCCAGATTCCACCCCCTTCTCCCAGATTCCATCCCCTTCTCCCTGATTCCATCCCCTTCTCCCAGATTCCATCCCCTTCTCCCATATTCCATCCCCTTCTCCCAGATTCCATCCCCTTCTCCCAGATTCTATCCCCTTCTCCCAGATTCCATCCCCTTCTCCCTGATTCCATCCCCTTCACCTAGATTCCATCCCCTTCTCCCAGATTCCATCCCCTTCTCCCAAATTCCATCCCATTCTCCTTGATTTCATCCCCTTCTCCCAGATTCTATACCCTTCTCCCAGATTCCATCCCCTTCTCCCAAATTCCATCCCATTCTCCTTGATTTCATCCCCTTCTCCCAGATTCTATACCCTTCTCCCAGATTCCATCCCCTTCTCCCAGAATCCATCCCCTTCTCCCATATTCCATCCCCTTCTTCCAGATTCCATCCCATTCTCCCAGATTCCATCCCCTTCTCCTCGATTCCATCCCCTTCTCCCAGATTCTATCCCCTTCTCCCAGATTCCATCCCCTTCTCCCAGATTCCATCCCCTTCTCCCAGATTCCATCCCCTTCTCCCAGATGCCATCCCCTTCTCCCAGATTCCATCCCCTTCTCCCAGGTCCCACCCCCTTCTCCCAGATTCCACCCCCTTCTCCCAGATTCCATCCCCTTCTCCGTGATTTCATCCCCTTCTCCCAGATTCCATCCCCTTTTCCTAGATTCCATCCCCTTCTGCCATATTCTATCCCCTTCTCCGAGATTCCATCCCCTTCTCCCAGATTTTATTCCCTTCTCCCTGATTCCACCCCCTTCTCCGAGATTCCATCCCCTTCTCCCAGATTCCATCCCCTTCTCCCATATTCCATCCCCTTCTCCCATATTCCATCCCTTTCTCCCAGATTCCATCCCCTTCTCCCAGATTCCATCCCCTTCTCCCAGATTCCATCCCCTTCTCCCAGATTCTATCCCCTTCTCCCAAATTCCATCCCCTTCTCCCAGATTCCAACCCCTTCTCCCAGATTCCATCCCCTTCTCCCAGATTCCATCCCCTTCTCCCTGATTCCATCCCCTTCTCCCAGATTCCATCCCCTTCTCCCAGATTCCATCCCCTTCTCCCAGATTCCATCCCCTTCTCCCAGATTTCATTCCCTTCTCCCTGATTGCACCCCCTACTCCCAGATTCCATCCCCTTCTCCCAGATTCCATCCCCTTCTCCCAAATTCTATCCCCTTCTCCCAGATTCCATCCCTTTCTCCCAGATTCCATCCCCTTTCCCCCAGATTCCATCCCCTTCTCCCAAATTCCATCCCCTTCTCCCAGATTCTATACCCTTCTCCCAAATTCCATGCCCTTCTCCCAAATTCCATCCCATTCTCCTTGATTTCATCCCCTTCTCCCAGATTCTATACCCTTCTCCCAGATTCCATCCCCTTCTCCCAGAATCCATCCCCTTCTCCCATATTCCATCCCCTTCTTCCAGATTCCATCCCATTCTCCCAGATTCCATCCCCTTCTCCCTGATTCCATCCCCTTCTCCCAGATTCTATCCCCTTCTCCCAGATTCCATCCCCTTCTCCCAGTTTCCATCCCCTTCTCCCAGATTCCATCCCCTTCTCCAAGATGCCATCCCCTTCTCCCTGATTCCATCCCCTTCTCCCAGGTCCCACCCCCTTCTCCCAGATTCCACCCCCTTCTCCCAGATTCCATCCCCTTCTCCCTGATTCCATCCCCTTCTCCCAGATTCCATCCCCTTCTCCTAGATTCCATCCCCTTCTGCCATATTCTATCCCCTTCTCCCAGATTCCATCCCCTTCTCCCAGATTTTATTCCCTTCTCCCTGATTCCACCCCCTTCTCCCAAATTCCATCCCCTTCTCCCAGATTCCATCCCCTTCTCCCATATTCCATCCCCTTCTCCCATATTCCATCCCTTTCTCCCAGATTCCATCCCCTTCTCCCAGATTCCATCCCCTTCTCCCAGATTCCATCCCCTTCTCCCAGATTCTATCCCCTTCTCCCAAATTCCATCCCCTTCTCCCAGATTCCACCCCCTTCTCCCAGATTCCATCCCCTTCTCCCATATTCCATCCCCTTCTCCCAGATTCCACCCCCTTCTCCCAGATTCCATCCCCTTCTCCAGATTCCATCCCCTTCTCCCTGATTCCATCCCCTTCTCCTAGATTCCATCCCCTTCTCCCAGATTCCATCCCCTTCTCCCAGATTCCATCCCCTTCTCCCAGATTCCATCCCCTTCTCCGTGATTCCATCCCCTTCTCCTAGATTCCATCCCCTTCTCCCAGATTTCATCCCCTTCTCCCTGATTCCACCCCCTTCTCCCAGATTCCATCCCCTTCTCCCTGATTCCATCCCCTTCTCCTAGATTCCATCCCCTTCTCCCAGATTCCATCCCCTTCTCCCAGATTCCATCCCCCTCTCCCAGATTCCATCCCCTTCTCCTAGATTCCATCCCCTTCTCCCAGATTCCATCCCCTTCTCCCTGATTCCATCCCCTTCTCCCAGATTCCATCCCCTTCTCCCAGATTCCATCCCTCTCTCCCAGATTCCATCCACTTCTCCCAGATTCCACCCCCTTCTCCCAGATTCCATCCCCTTCTCCCAGATTCCACCCCCTTCTCCCAGATTCCATCCCCTTCTCCAGATTCCATCCCCTTCTCCCTGATTCCATCCCCTTCTCCTAGATTCCATCCCCTTCTCCCAGATTCCATCCCCTTCTCCCAGATTCCATCCCCTTCTCCCTGATTCCATCCCCTTCTCCCAGATTCCACCCCCTTCTCCCTGATTCCACCCCCTTCTCCCAGATTCCATCCCCTTCTCCCTGATTCCATCCCCTTCTCCTAGATTCCATCCCCTTCTCCCAGATTCCATCCCCTTCTCCCAGATTCCATCCCCTTCTCCCAGATTCCATCCCCTTCTCCTAGATTCCATCCCCTTCTCCCAGATTCCATCCCCTTCTCCCAAAGTTCATCCCCTTCTCCCAGATTCCACCCCTTTCTCCCAGATTCCATCCCCTTCTCCCAGATTCCATCCCCTTCTCCCAGATTCCATCCCCTTCTCCCAGATTCCATCCCCTTCTCCCAAATTCCATCCCATTCTCCCAGATTTCATCCCCTTCTCCCAGATTCCACCCCCTTCTCCCAGATTCCATCTCCTTCTCCCTGATTCCATCCCCTTCTCCCATATTCCATCCCCTTCTCCCAGATTCCATCCCCTTCTCCCAGATTCCATCCCCTTCTCCAAAATTCCATCCCATTCTCCCAGATTTCATCCCCTTCTCCCAGATTCCACCCCCTTCTCCCAGATTCCATCTCCTTCTCCCTGATTCCATCCCCTTCTCCCTGATTCCATCCCCTTCTCCCAGATTCCATCCCCTTCTCCCAGATTCCATCACCCCGCCCCATTCTTCCGCTTTCCCTCACCCCACCCCATTCTCCTGCTTTCCATCACCCCGCCCCATTCTCCCTCCTTCCATCACCCCGCCCCATTCTGCCCCATTCTCCCTCCTTCCATCACCCCGCCCCATTCTGCCCCATTCTCCCTCCTTCCATCACCCCACCCCATTCTCCCGCTTTCCATCACCCCGCCCCATTCTCCCGCTTTCCATCACCCCGCCCCATTCTCCCGCTTTCCATCACTCCGCCCCATTCTCCCGCTTTCCATCAACCCGCCCCATTCTCCTGCTTTCCATCACCCCGCCCCATTCTCCCGCTTTCCATCACCCCTCCCCATTCTCTTGCTTTCCATCACCTCGCCCCATTCTCCCGCTTTCCATCACCCCGCCCCATTCTCCCGCTTTCCACCACCCCACCCCATTCTCCCGCTTTCCATCACCCTACCCTATTCTCCCGCGTTCAATCACCCTGTCCCATTCTCCCTCCTTCCATCACCCCACCCCATTCTCCCTCCTTCCATCACCCCGCCCCATTCTCCCTCCTTCCATCACCCCGCCCCATTCTCTCGCTTTCCATTACCCCGCCCCATTCTCCTTCCTTCCATCACCCCGCCCCATTCTCCTGCTTTCCATCAATGCGCCCAATTCTCCGGCTTTCCATCACCCCGCCCCATTCTCCCGCTTTCCATCACCCCGCCCCATTCTCCCTCTTTCCATAACCCCGCCCCATTCTCCCTCCTTCCATCACCCCGCCCCATTCTCCCGCTTTCCATCACCCCTCCCCATTCTCCCTCTTTCCATCACCCCGCCCCATTCTCCCTCCTTCCATCACCCCGCCCCATTCTCCCTCCTTCCATCACCCCGCCCCATTCTCCCGCTTTCCATCACCCCGCCCCATTCTCCCTCCTTCCATCAACCCGCCCCATTCTCCCGCTTTCCATCATCCCGCCCCATTCTCCCGCTTTCCATCACCCGCCCCATTCTCCCTCTTTCCATCACCCCGCCCCATTCTCCCTCCTTCCATCATCCCGCCCCATTCTCCCTCCTTCCATCACCCCGCCCCATTCTCCCGCTTTCCATCACCCCGCCCCATTCTCCCGTTTTCCATCACCGCGCCCCATTCTCCCGCTTTCCATCACCCCGCCCCATTCTCCCTCCTTCCATCACCCCGCCCCATTCTTCCGCTTTCCATCACCCTGCCCCATTCTCCCGCTTTTCATCACCCCGCCCCATTCTCCCGCTTTCCATCACCCCGCCCCATTCTCCCTCCTTCCATCACCCTGCCCCATCTCCCTCCTTCCATCATCCGGCCCCATTCTCCCGCTTTCCATCACCCCGCCCCATTCTCCCTCCTTCCATCACCCTGCCCCATCCTCCCTCCTTCCATCACCCCGCCCCTTTCTCCCGCTTTCCATCACCGAGCCCCGTTCTCCCGCTTTCTATCACCCCGCCCCATTCTCCCCCTTTCCATCACCCCGTCCCATTTTCCCGCTTTCCCTCACCCCGCCCCAGTCTCCCGCTTTCCATAGCCCCGCCCCATTCTACCGCTTTCCATTATCCCGCCCCCTTCTCCTGCTTTCCATCACCACACCCCATTCTCCCGCTTTCCAACACCCCGCCCTATTCCCCCGCTTTCCATCACCCCGCCCTATTCTCCCGCTTTCCATCACCCCACCCTATTCTCCCGCTTTCCATCACCCCTCCCAATTCTCCCGCTTTCCATCACCCCGCCCCATTCTCCCGCTTTCCATCACCCCGCCCAATTCTCCCACTTTCCATCACCCCGCCCCATTCTCCCTCCTTCTATCACCCCGCCCCATTGTCTCGCTTTCCATCACCCCGCCCCATTCTCCCGCTTTCCATCACCCCGCCCCATTCTCCCACTTTCCACCACCCCACCCCATTCTCCCGCTTCCCATCACCCCACCCTATTCTCCCGCGTTCAATCACCCCGCCCCATTCTCCCTCCTTCCATCACCCCGCCTCATTCTCCCTCCTTCCATCACCCCGCCCCATTCTCCCTCCCTCCATCACCCCGCCCCATTCTCCCGCTTTCCATCACCCTACCCCATTCTCCCGCTTTCCATCACCCTGCCCTATTCTCCCGCTTTCCATCACCCCGCCCCATTCTCCCTCCTTTCATCACCCCGCCCCATTCTCCCTCCTTCCATAACCCCGCCCCATTCTCCTGCTTTCCATCACCCTGCCCCATTCTCCTACTTTCCATCACCCCGCCACATTCTCCTGCTTTCCATCACCCCGCCCCATTCTCCCTCCTTCCATAACCCTGCCCCATTCTCCCACTTTCCACCACCCCACCCCATTCTCCCGCTTTCCATCACCCCACCCTTTTCTCCCGCGTTCAATCACCCCGCCCCATTCTCCCTCCTTCCATCACCCTGCCTCATTCTCCCTCCTTCCATCACCCCGCCCCATCCTCCCTCCTTCCATCACCCCGCCCCATTCTCCCTCCTTCCATCACCCCGCCCCATTCTCCCGCTTTCCATCACCCCGCCCCATTCTCCCACTTTCCATCACCTCGCCCCTTTCTCCCGCTTTCCATCGCCTCGCCCCATTCTCCCTCCTTCCATCACCACGCCCCATTCTCCTGCTTTCCATCACCCCGCCCCATTCTCCCGTTTCCATCACCTCGCCCCATTCTCCCGCTTTCAATCACCCCGCCCCATTCTCCCTCTTTCTATCACCCCGCCCCATTCTCCCTCCTTCCATCACCCCGCCCCATTTTCCCTCCTTCCATCACCCCGCCCCATTCTACCGCTTTCCATCACCCCGCCCAATTCTCCCGTTTTCCCTCACCCCGCCCCATTCTCCCGCTTTCCATCACCCCGCCCCATTCTCCCTCCTACCGTCACCCGGCCCCATTCTCCCGCTTTCCATCACCCCGCCCCATTCTCCCGCTTTCCATCACCCCGACCCGTTCTCCCTCCTTCTACCACCCCGCCCCATTCTTCCGCTTCCCATCACCCCGCCCCATTCTCCCGATTTACATCACCCTGGCCCATTCTCCCTCCTTCCATCACCCCGCCCCATTCTCCCTCCTTCCATCACCCCGCCCCATTCTCCCGCTTTCCATCATCCCGCCCCATTCTCCCTCCTTCCATCACCCTGCCCCATCCTCCCTCCTTCCATCACCCCGCCCCATTCTCCCGCTTTCCATCACCCCGCCCCGTTCTCCCCCTTTCCATCATCCCGCCCCATTCTCCCGCTTTCCATCACCCCGCCCCATTCTCCCGCTTTCCCTCACCCCGCCCCAGTCTCCCGCTTTCCATAGCCCCGCCCCATTCTCTCGTTTTCCATCACCCCGCCCCCTTCTCCTGCTTTCCATCACCGCACCCCATTCTCCCGATTTCCATCACCCCGCCCCATTCTCCCTCCTTCCATCACCCCGCCCCATCCTCCCTCCTTCCATCACCCCGCCCCATTCTCCCTCCTTCCATCACCCCTCCCCATTCTCCAGCTTTCCATCACCCCGCCCCATTCTCCCTCCTTCCACCACCCCGCCCCATTCTCCCGCTTCCCAACACCCTGCCCCATTCTCTCGATATACATCACCCCGGCCCATTCTCCCTCCTTCCATCACCCCGCCCCATTCTCCCTCCTTCCATCACCACGCCCTATTCTCCCGCTTTCCATCACCCCGCCCCATTCTCCCTCCTTCCATCACCCTGCCCCATCCTCCCTCCTTCCATCACCCCGCCCCATTCTCCCGCTTTCCATCACCCCGCCCCGTTCTCCCCCGTTCCATCACCCCGCCCCATTCTCCCGCTTTCCATCACCCCGCCCCATTCTCCCGCTTTCCCTCACCCCGCCCCAGTCTCCCGCTTTCCATAGCCCTGCCCCATTCTCCCGTTTTCCATCACCCCGCCCCCTTCTCCTGCTTTCCATCACCGCACCCCATTCTCCCGCTTTCCATCACCCCGCCCCATTCTCCCGCTTTTCATCACCCCGCCCCAGTCTCCCGCTTTCCATCACCCCGCCACATTCTCCCGCTTTCCATCACCCCGCCCCATTCTCCCTCCTTCCATCACCCCACCCTATTTTCCCTCCTTCCATCACCCCGCCCCATTCTCCCGCTTTCCATCACCCCGCCTCATCCTCCCGCTTTCCATCACCCCGCCCCATTCCCCCGCTTTCCATCACCCCGCCCCATTCTCCCGCTTTCTATCACCCCACCCCATTCTTCCGCTTTCCATCACCTTGTCCCATTCTCCCGCTTTCCATCACCACGCCCCATTCTCTAGCTTTCTATCACCCCGCCCCATTCTCCCGCTATCCATCACCCCGCCCCATTCTCCCGCTTTCCATCACCCCAACTCATTCTCCCGCTTTCCATCACCCCGCCCCATTCTCCCGCTTTCCATCACCCCGTCCCATTCTCCCGCTTTCCATCACCCCGCCCTATTCTCCCGCTTTCCATCACTCCGCCCCATTCTCCCGCTTTCCATCACCCCGCCCGATTCTCCCGCTTTCCATCACTCTGCCCCATTCGCCCGCTTTCCTTCACCCCGCCCCGTTCTCCCGCTTTCCATCACCCCGTCCCATTCTCCCGCTCTTCATCACCCCTCCCCATTCTCCCTCCTTCCATCACCCCGTCCCATTCTCCCTCCTTCCATCACCCCGCCCCATTCTCCCGCTTTCCATCACCCCGTCCCATTCTCCCGCTTTCCATCACCCCGCCCCATTCTCCCGCTTTCCATCACTCCGCCCCATTCTCCCGCTTTCCATCACCCCGCCCCATTCTCCCGCTTTCCATCACTCTGCCCCATTCGCCCGCTTTCCTTCACCCCGCCCCGTTCTCCCGCTTTCCATCACCCCGTCCCATTCTCCCGCTCTTCATCACCCCTCCCCATTCTCCCGCTTTCCATCACCCCGCCACATTCTCCCGCTTTCCATCACCCCGCCCCATTCTCCCTCCTTCCATCACCCCACCCTATTTTTCCTCCTTCCATCACCCCGCCCCATTCTCCCGCTTTCCATCACCCTGCCTCATCCTCCCGCTTTCCATCACCCCGCCCCATTCCCCCGCTTTCCATCACCCCGCCCCATTCTCCCGCTTTCCATCACCCCGCCCCATTCTTCCGCTTTCCATCACCCCGTCCTATTCTCCCGCTTTCCATCATCCCGCCCCATTCTCCCGCTTTCTATCACCCCGCCCCGTTCTCCAGCTATCCATCACCCCGCCCCATTCTCCCGCTTTCCATCACCCCACCTCATTCTCCCTCCTTCCATCAACCCGCCCCATTCTCCCTCCTTCCATCACCCCATCCCATTCTCCCGCTTTCCATCACCCTGCCCCATTCTCCCTCCTTCTATCACACCGCCCCATTCTCCCGCTTTCCATCACCCCGCCCCATTCTCCCGCTTTCCATCACCCCACCCCATTCTCCATCTTTTCATCACCCCGCCCCATTCTCCCGCTTTCCATCACCCCGCACCATTCTCCCTCTTTCTATCACCCCGCCCCATTCTCCCTCCTTCCATATCTGGGAGAAGGGGATGGAATCTGGGAGAAGGGGATGGAATCTGGGAGAAGGGGGTGGAATCTGGGAGAAGGGGATGGAATTTGAGAGAAGGGGATGGAATCTGGAGAAGGGGATAGAATCAGGGAGAAGTGGATGGAATGTGGGAGAAGGGGATGGACCCTGGGAGAAGGGGATGGAATCTGCCAGAGAGGGATTGAATCTGGGAGAAGGGGATGGAATCTAGGAGAAGGGGATGGAATCTGGGAGAAGGGGATGGATTCTGGGAGAAGGAGATGGAATCTTGGAGAAGGGGATGGAATGAGGGAGAAGGGGATGGAATCAGGGAGAAGGGGATGGAATTAGGGAGAAGGGGATGGAATACAGAAGAAGGGGATGGAATTTGGGAGAAGGGGATGGAATCTGGGAAAAGAGGATGGAATCTGGGAGAAGGAGATGGAATCTGGGAGAAGGGGATGGAATCTGGGAGAAGGGGATGGAACATGGGAGAAGGGGATGGAATCTTGGAGAAGGGGATGGAATCTGGGGGAAGGGGATGGAATCTGGAAGAAGGGGATGGAATGAGGGAGAAGGGGATGGAATCTAGGAGAAGGGGATGGAAACTGGGAGAAGGGGATGGAATCTAGGAGAAGGGGATGGAATATGGGAGAAGGGGATGGAATCTGGGAGAAGGGGATGTAATATGGGAGAAGGGGATGGAATCAGGGAGAAGGGGAAGAAATCTGGGAGAAGGGGATGGAATCTAGGAGAAGGGGATGGAATCTGGGAGAAAGGGAGGGAATCTGGGAGAAGGGGATGGAATCTGGGAGAAGGGGATGTTATCTGGGAGAAGGGGATGGAATTTGGGAGAAGGGTATGGAATCTGGAGAAGGGGATGAAATCTGGGAGAAGGGGATGGAATCTGGAAGAAGGGGATGGAATCTATGAGAAGGGGATGGAATCCGGGAGAAGGGATGGAATTTGGGAGAAGGGGACGAAATTTGGGAGAAGGGGATGGAATCTGGGAGAAGGGGATGGAATCTGGGAGAAGGGGATGGAACCTGGGAGAAGGGGATGGAATCTGGAAGAAGGGGATGGAATCTGGGAGAAGGGGATGGAATCTGGGAGAAGGGGATGGAATGAGGGAGAAGGGGATGGAATCTGGGAGAAGGGGATGGAATCTGGGAGAAGGGATGGAATCTGGGAGAAGGGGATGGAATCGGGAAGAAGGGGATGGAATCCGGGAGAAAGGGATGAAATCTGGGAGAAGGGGATGGAATCTGGGAGAAGGGGATGGAATCGGGGAGAAGGGGATGGAATCAGGGAGAAGGGGATGGAATTTGGGAGAAGGGGATGGAATCTGGAGAAGGGGATGGAATCAGGGATAAGGGGATGGAATCTAGGAGAAGGGGATGGAATCTGGGAGAAGGGGATGGAATTTGGGAGAAGGGGATAGAATCTGGAGAAGGGGCTGGAATCTGGGAGAAGGGGATGAAATCTGGGAGAAGGGGATGGAATATGGGAGAAGGGGATGGAATCTGGGAGAAGGGGATGGAATCAGGGAGAAGGGATGGAATTTGGGAGAAGGGGATGGAATCTGGGAGAAGGGGATGGAATCTAGGAGAAGGGGATGGAATCTGGGAGAAGGGGATGGAATCAGGGAGAAGGGGATGGAATCGGGGAGAAGGGGTTGGAATCAGGGAGAAGGGGATGGAATTTGGGAGAAGGGGATGGAATCTGGAGAAGGGGATGGAATCTTGGAGAAGGGGATGGAATTTGGGAGAAGGAGATGGAATCTGGGAGAAGGGAATGGAATCTGGGAGAAGGGGATGGAATCTGGGAGAAGGGGATGGAATCTGGGAGAAGGGGATGGAATCTGGGAGAAGGGGATAGAATATGGGAGAAGGGGATGGAATCAGGGAGAAGGGGAAGGAATCTGGGAGAAGGGGATGGAATCTGGGAGAAGGGGATGGAATCTGGGAGAAGGGGATGGAATCTAGGAGAAGGGGATGGAATCTGGGAGAAGGGGATGGAATCTAGGAGAAGGGGATGGAATCGGGGAGAAGGGGTTGGAATCAGGGAGAAGGGGATGGAATTTGGGAGAAGGGGATGGAATCTGGAGAAGGGGATGGAATCTGGGAGAACGGGATGGAATTTGGGAGAAGGAGATGGAATCTAGGAGAAGGTAATGGAATCTGGGAGAAGGGGATGGAATCTGGGAGAAGGGGATGGAATCTGGGAGAAGGGGATAGAATATGGGAGAAGGGGATGGGATTAGGGAGAAGGGGAAGGAATCTGGGAGAAGGGGATGGAATCTGGGAGAAGGGGATGGAATCTGGGAGAAGGGGATGGAATCAAGGAGAAGGGGAAGGAATCTGGGAGAAGGAGATGGAATCTGGGAGAAGGGAATGGAATCTGGGAGAAGGGGATGGAATCTGGGAGAAGGGGATGGAATTTGGGAGAAGGGGATAGAATATGGGAGAAGGGGATGGAATCTGGGAGAAGGGGAAGGAATCTGGGAGAAAGGGATGGAATCTGGGAGAAGGGGATGGAATCTGGAAGAAGGGGATGGAATCTGGGAGAAGGGGATGGAATCTGGGAGAAGGGGATGGAATCAGGGAGAAGGGGATGGAATCTGGGAGAAGGGGATAAAATCTACGAGACGTGGATGGAATCTGGGAGAAGGGGATGGAATCGGGGAGAAGGGGATGGAATCTGGGAGAAGGGGATGGTATCTGGGAGAAGGGGATGGAATCTAGGAGAAAGGGATGGAATCTGGGAGAAGGGGATGGAATCTGGGAGAAGGGGATGGAATCTGGGAGAAGGGGATGGAATCTGGGAGAAGGGGATGGAATCTGGGAGAAGGGGATGGAATCTGGGAGAAGGGGATGGAATCTAGGAGAAGGGGATGGAATCTAGGAGAAGGGGATGGAATCTGGGAGAAGGGGATGGAATCTGGGAGAAGGGGATGGAATCTAGGAGAAGGGGATGGAATCAGGGAGAAGGGGTTGGAATCAGGGAGAAGGGGATGAAATTTGGGAGAAGGGGATGGAATCTGGAGAAGGGGATGGAATCTGGGAGAAGGGGATGGAATTTGGAAGGAGATGGAATCTGGGAGAAGGAGATGGAATCTCGGAGAAGGGGATGGAATCTGGGAGAAGGGGATGGAATCTGGGAGAAGGGGATAGAATATGGGAGAAGAGGATGGAATCAGGGAGAAGGGGAAGGAATAAGGGAGAAGGGGATGGAATCTGGGAGAAGGGGATGGAATCTGGGAGAAGGGGATGGAATCTGGGAGTAGGGGATGGAATCTGGGAGAAGGGGATGGAATCTGGGAGAAGGGGATGGAATCTGGAAGAAGGGGATGGAATCAGGGAGAAGGGGAAGGAATCTAGGAGAAGGGGATGGAATCTGGGAGAAGGGGATGGAATCTGGGAGAAGGGGATGGAATCTGGGAGAAGGGGATGGTATCTGGGAGAAGGGGATGGAATCTAGGACAAGGGGATGGAATCTGGGAGAAGGGGATGGAATCTGGGAGAAGGGGATGGAATCTGGGAGAAGGGGATGGAATCTGGGAGAAGGGGATGGAATCTAGGAGAAGGGGATGGAATCTGGGAGAAGGGGATGGAATCTAGGAGAAGGGGATGGAATCTAGGAGAAGGGGATGGAATCTGGGAGAAGGGGATGGAATCAGGGAGAAGGGGAAGGAATCTGGGAGAAGGGGATGGAATCTAGGAGAAGGGGATGGAATCTGGGAGAAGGGGATGGAATCTGGGAGAAGGGGATGGAATCTGGGAGAAGGGGATGGAATCTGGGAGAAGGGGATGGAATCTGGGAGAAGGGGATGGAATCTAGGAGAAGGGGATGGAATCTGGGAGAAGGGGATGGAATCTGGGAGAAGGGGTTGGAATCTGGGAGAAGGGGATGGTATCAGGGAGAAGGGGTTTGAATCTAGGAGAAGGGGATGGAATCTAGGAGAAGGGGATGGAATCTGGGAGAAGGGGATGGAATCTGGGAGAAGGGGATGGAATCAGGGAGAAGGGGATGGAATCTGGGAGAAGGGGATGGAATCTGGCAGAAGGGGATGGAATCTGAGAGAAGGGGATGGAATATGGGAGAAGGGGATGGAATCTGGGAGAGGGGATTGAATCTGGGAGAAGGGGATGGAATCTGGGAGAAGGGGATGGAATCTGGGAGAAGGGGATGAAATCTGGGAGAAGGGGTTGGAATCCGGGAGAAGGGGATGGAATCTGGGAGAAGGGGATGGAATCTGAGAGAAGGGGATGGAATATGGGAGAAGGGGATGGAATCTGGTTGAAGGGGATGGAATCTGGGAGAAGGGGATGGAATCTGGGAGAAGGGGATGGAATCTGGGAGAAGGGGATGGAATCTGGAAGAAGGGGATGGAATATGGGAGAAGGGGATGAAATCTGGAAGAAGGGGATGGAATCTGGGAGAAGGGGATGGAATCTGGGAGAAGGGGATGGAATCAGGGAGAAGGGGATAGAATTAGGGAGAAGGGGATGGAATCTGGGAGAAGGGGATGGAATCAGGGAGAAGGGGATGGAATCAGGGAGAAGGGGATGGAATCTGGGAGAAGGGATGGAATCTGGGAGAAGGGGATGGAATCTGGGAGAAGGGGATGGAATCTGGGAGAAGGGGATGGAATCTGGGGGAAGGGGATGGAATCTGGGAGAAAGGGATGGAATCTGGGAGAAGGGTATGGAATCTGGGAGAAGGGGATGGAATCAGGGAGAAGGGGATGGAATCAGGAAGAAGGGGATGGAATCAGGGAGAAGGGGAAGGAATCTAGGAGAAGGGGATGGAATCTGGGAGAAGGGGATGGAATCTGGGAGAAGGGGATGGAATCTGGGAGAAGGGGATGTTATCTGGGAGAAGGGGATGGAATCTAGGAGAAGGGGATGGAATCTAGGAGAAGGGGATGGAATCTGGGAGAAGGGGATGGAATCTGGGAGAAGGGGATGGAATCTGGGAGAAGGGGATGGAATCTAGGAGAAGGGGATGGAATCTGGGAGAAGGGGATGGAATCTAAGAGAAGGGGATGGAATCTAGGAGAAGGGATGGAATCTGGGAGAAGGGGATGGAATCTGGGAAAAGGGGATGGAATCTGGGAGAAGGGGATGGAATCGGGGAGAAGGGGTTGGAATCAGGGAGAAGGGGATGGAATTTGGGAGAAGGGGATGGAATCTGGAGAAGGGGATGGAATCTGGGAGAAGGGGATGGAATTTGGGAGAAGGAGATGGAATCTGGGAGAAGGAAATGGAATCTGGGAGAAGGGGATGGAATCTGGGAGAAGGGGATGGAATCTGAGAGAAGGGGATAGAATATGGGAGAAGGGGATGGAATCAGGGAGAAGTGAAGGAATCTGGGAGAAGGGGATGGAATCTGGGAGAAGGGGATGGAATCCTGGGAGAAGGGGATGGAATCTGGGAGAAGGGATGGAATCTGGGAGAAGGGGATGGAATCTGGGAGAAGGGGATGGAATCTGGGAGAAGGGGATGGAATCTGGGAGAAGGGGATGGAATCTAGGAGAAGGGATGGAATCTGGGAGAAGGGGATGGAATCTGGGAGAAGGGGATGGAATCTGGGAGAAGGGGATGGTATCTGGGAGAAGGGGATGGAATCTAGGAGAAGGGGATGGAATCTGGGAGAAGGGGAGGGAATCTGGGAGAAGGGGATGGAATCTGGGAGAAGGGGATGTTATCTAGGAGAAGGGGATGGAATTTGGGAGAAGGGTATGGAATCTGGAGAAGGGGATGAAATCTGGGAGAAGGGGATGGAATCTGGAAGAAGGGGATGGAATCTAGGAGAAGGGGATGGAATCAGGGAGAAGGGATGGAATTTGGGAGAAGGGGACGAAATTTGGGAGAAGGGGATGGAATCTGGGAGAAGGGGATGGAATCTGGGAGAAGGGATGGAACCTGGGAGAAGAGGAGGAATCTGGAGAAGGGGATGGAATCTGGGAGAAGGAGATGGAATCTGGGAGAAGGGATGGAATGAGGGAGAAGGGGATGGAATCTGGGAGAAGGGGATGGAATCTGGAAGAAGGGATGGAATCTGGGAGAAGGGGATGGAATCGGGAAGAAGGGGATGGAATCCGGGAGAAAGGGATGAAATCTGGGAGAATGGGATGGAATCTGGGAGAAGGGGATGGAATCGGGGAGAAGGGGATGGAATCAGGGAGAAGGGGATGGGATTTGGGAGAAGGGATGGAACTGGAGAAGGGGATGGAATCTGGGATAAGGGGATGGAATCTGGGAGAAGGGGATGGAATCTGGCAGAAGGGGATGGAATCTGAGAGAAGGGGATGGAATATGGGAGAAGGGGATGGAATCAGGGAGAGGGGATTGAATCTGGAGAAGGGATGGAATCTGGGAGAAGGGGATGGAATCTGGGAGAAGGGGATGGAATCTGGGAGAAGGGGTTG